CTGAGCTGTGTGATTTTTCAGATTTTAACTTTCAAATAGGTACTTATTTTACCTCAGCGGTTCGGGTTATTACGACTAGTTTTTCAGCTGTCCTACCGATACTGATACAGGTAGTTATTAATTTTATTTTTAAATTAGGTTAGGCGGCTTTGTAATGGAGGCTGATGAAGCTTTGCAACGTGAAATCCCCTCCTCTAGCGAAGTAAGTGGTAGAACTAACGATAAAATTCACTAAATTACTACAAAAAAGCAAATTTAGAATACTTTGAAACTGAAGGTTTCATGTTGTAAAAGCAACATTTTTTGGCGTATCCATGGTCTGGAAAGGCATTTGCCATTTTGATTGTTTTAGACGAGTGGTAAGAGAAAGGATAACGTCACCGACGATGAATACGCAAAAGGGATGGCAAAAGTCAAAGCGGAATACCTGCTCGTCAATTATGTTAGACAACTCGATCCGTCCTACCTTAGCGTCGAAGACAGGCAGAAGCTGGAAAACGACAATAAGGCGCCAAACCCCGAGGAATCCACTGCGGTGGCGGAGGGGAAAAAGCCAAAACTGAAAGGACGAAATAAACGGCGTGCCGGGAATATCTTTCGCGAAGGGCTGAAAATGTGTTCGTTCCTGGTTCGTCAGGCACCCTGTCCATTTGGGGACAAGTGTCGATACAGCCATAGCGTTGAGGATTATTTAAAGCAGAAGGAACCTGATATTGGTGATCAGTGTCCGAACTTCGTGAAGAATGGCTCGTGTCCATATGGCTTCACATGCCGATTCGCCAAGGCGCACGCGCAGATGGACGACGATGCAATTCTTTCGAGGACCGCATCCGAGGGAAATTCTGTGCGGAATGTGATTTCCGACGAAATTAACGGCATGTCGAGGGAGCTGCAGACTTTATTACGGAAAAGAAAATTTGAATTTTGTGATGCTGAGGAGAAGATCGGCGAAACTGAAGAATGAAGTCATTGATAACGATGTTGAAATTATCCGTACCGATGCAGGTTTGCATTATTGGAGTTCATTTGCTTGTAATTTAGTATTACATAATTGTTTAGTGCCCAAGTATGGTTCAGTTTTGCAGTTACTAGCAAGTCTAGAGATTCTGTTCATTCTGAATTTTTTTGGTAGAATGAACATTCCATTTTTTAAAACTCCAGTTGCGCATATAGTAGTATATGTTTTTATATTTTCGCTACTTCTTTATGACATACGCAAATAGACATATTACAGGGTATTTTAACCGAACATTTTCAGTACTTTTCATTTTCATTACGTTTTCAGTTTTCTTAATATCATTCAGCGTTCCATAACTTCTGTGTTTGGGATTTGTAGAAATTAAACCTGTGGGATGTGTCACCGACGAAGGGGAAATTCGTTTACGATCAGCCGAAAGGAAAACAGTGGATTTTCGGGATAAATTGTACTTGTCTCCTTTAACGACTGTCGGTAATCTTCCCTACAGGCGCATTTGCAAGCGCTTGGGCGCAGATATCACCTGCGGAGAAATGGCCTTAGCCGGCAATCTGCTGAGTGGACAGCAGAGCGAATGGGCTCTTATGGTGCGGCATCAGAGCGAGGATATTTTTGGCGTACAGGTATGTGGCAGCAAACCGGATATGATGGAAAAGTTGGCTTATTTGCTAAAATCAGAAGTGTCAGTGGATTTTGTGGATATTAATTCTGGATGTCCGATTGATCTGGTGTGCAACAGTGGCAGCGGATGCGCAATGATGGGACGGCTGCAGCGAATGGAAGGCGTCGTACGGAATATGTCCAGTGTTCTGGATGTTCCTTTGACGGTGAAAATGCGGACAGGAATTAGTGACAATAAAAACATTGCTCACGAGATAATTCCGAAAGTTTATGACTGGGGAGCTAGTATGATTGCCCTGCATGGACGGTCAAGAGATCAGCGATATACTCGACTGGCAGATTGGGATTACATTGCCAGGTGAGCATTTAAATCAGCAACCACGGAAAAGTTTGTTTTGTGATTTCGGCTGCCGTCGTTCGCTGTTTATAAGAAAGATTCAGCATTCGAATTTTTCCATGTTACCGTCAGTAGCATCAGAAACCCCTTGTCGCCGTGCCTGGGCGAACTCAGATATAACGAGCGACTTTCCGCATGGTTCACTTATATAATTGCCCCGACTGCTTTTTCTAATCATTATTTTGGTTTGCTTGAAAACATCGGTTACTTTCGCTTGATGGTTTACGACTTTCACTAGTATTATTTTCGCTTTTGCATAGGTGTGCCGAAATTGCCAGCCCACGGCCACTTTTTGGCAATGGCGACTGCATGAACTTCGAAGATTATTATGATCACATGGAAAACACGAAGATTGCCGGTATCCTTATCGCGCGTGGCGCACTTATTAAACCCTGGATCTTCACGGAAATCAAGGAGCGCCGACACTGGGATATATCCGCCAATGAGCGGTTCGATATTTTCAGGATTACGCCCGGTACGGATTGGAACACTGGGGCTCCGATACGAAGGGCGTAGAGAACACGCGGAGATTTCTGTTAGAATGGATGTCGTTTACGCATCGCTACATTCCGGTGGGCATTTTGGAGAGGATTCCGCAGCGAATTAATGAACGCCCACCATGTGAGTGTATCCACATATTTTGCCATGATGCAGTGCTCAAATTTCTAGTATTTACGATTAGTTTCGAAATGTTTCAGATTATCAGGGCCGGTCGGATTTGGAGACCTTGCTGAGTTCAGCTCATTGCCGGGACTGGATTAAGTTAAGTGAAATGCTGCTGGGCCCGGTGCCGGATGGGTTTACGTTTTTACCAAAGCATAAAGCCAACGCTTGGAAATGATATTTTGCTGATTGTGAACGAGCATCTGGTGCATTTGTTGAAAAGGTCATATCTTGTTATACTTACATGATTGTCCGTTTGACACCGTTATTTATTTTCTGGAAGTTGAGTTCCAAATGTACGAAATTCGTGGAGCTAGTGCACTGCAAGTTTGTTTTTGGTCTGTCTCGATGACGGATTATGCGACAGCTTCTTGCTGTTGTAAACCTGCGGCTTTAAAATTTGATGGTGCAGTGCAACCTTGAATTGTCTGTGTCAGTATCATTCAAATGAGTGATGCTGATACCGTAATAATATGTTATGCAAGTTGCAGAGAATTTGCGGCTTGATTTGGGTCGATGTACGCGAGCTTAAATAGTTACAATGCATTGTTATGTTTATGGCTATTATAATTAGAAAACGGTTTTTCTTCTATCATACATGATGGTGATAAATGAAACAGCATCTGATTCGATACGTCATTGGGAAAATTATGTACTGTACGCATAACACTGTGTATTAGTAGTAGTAGTATGTTGCCGATTTTTGCATTCATGGCGAAAAATGCGGAAAGCGTTTGAAAATTTTTGTGTTAACTACGATGCAATACACCGGCGTATTGAATCAGCCGCTTGGCGCAAAGGCAAATGCACTCGTGTCTGGTAGTGAATGTCGTGAAGAGGGCTGATTAGTACCACAGGATTGGCCGTGAATGTTTTTTGTCGACTGCGTAGACAAATATGCCGCTTTTGCCGGTGTGCATCTGCTGGTCCGTTATGGATTTCTACATCTGGTGGAAAATGTTCACAGACTGCGTAAGCGTATTCCAAGCACACGCGCCAAGGCAAAATCCACGCGTATGAGCCTAAATCGATCATAAGCAAGCGAAGAGATCTGTCGTCAGTCGGCAAGAGTTGCTAGCATCAGGTTCTTTTTCCACCGTTCCCATCCCAGTCGATGGTGTGTCGCGCGATGTTCATGTTTATTCACCGTTTATGTTCTAACAGCTGACTTCAAAAAATTTTGACATTTGTAATGCGATTTATGGATTGAACTTTCTCTGAATTTCTTTGAGTTTGTGGTCGTATACCGCCCATATAAAATGATACATTCATAACAATTAATGTGACTCAGTTGTGTGTTTGTACAGTTCTTGCGCAGGTTAACCACAACCCATTTTTTGAGTGTATTTTGGACTGGTAATGAAACTAGAAATCCGACACAGCGATCCGGATGGATAGCCACTGGAAGATTGCACTGAAAGCCATGTAATTGTGCATACAGGATCGCGTACACGGAAGTGCTGATAGTGTTGCGCATATGCTTGCCAATAAGCATATGCGGTGATGGGAACCGAAGCGGCCACCCTGACTGATCTGTCGGTTAGCAAAGAACAGGATGGCAATGGAAACATTATTAATCCTCTTGGATCCAATGTCAACATTACGCAAATACCCCCCAGAAAGCGCTTTGACATCGATGGCGGATGGGCCTGGATGGCTTTGCTATCGTCCTTCATAATACACAGTATCATATTTGGCGCAATGATGGGAATGGGATTGTTCTACTCGGAGTTTTTGGATGAATTTAATCAGGGCCCAGTTATCACGTCGTGGCTGATTGCCACTAATTGCGCTCTCGGAGCTTTATTAGGTGAAATAAATGAAAGAACATGTGGTATTATTTTTAATTTTTTAGTAACGCACTGACTGCATTCGTACTTATAATATTATACATGCCTTCATTTGCAATTTTGATGTCGGTTTCGCGTGCAGTGAGTTACGTAATTTAACTGTGAATGTGGTATTTCCAAACGTTCAAAGAATCTGTCTAGTACGGTACAATACATGCGTGTGTTCTGCTGTATAAGTGTTTGTGTACGGGTAACATCTTGTGGTTTGTCCATTTCAGGGCCGGTGGGCAGTATTTTAGCCAACCGATTCGGTTTCCGCTTGGTAATTATTACCGGTACGCTTATTGCCTCTGCCGGATACATTCTGAGCTATTTCGTGGATAATTTTTGGGTATTATTTCTCACCTTCGGCATCATGACAGGTAAGGGCTAAGCCAGTAGAAATTATAAGCGAATTAATACTGGTGCATTGTACGCATAATTAATTGCAAGGTATACTTTTTTGTCCTCGTTCCGCCCAGGTGTCGGTTCCGGGATGGTCTACTCTCCCAGTTTTGGAATTCTTGCCCTGTATTTTGATAAAGAAAAACCTTTGCCACATCCGCAGCCACCGTCGGCATCGGTGTCGGCATGTTCCTAATCCCACCGGCGCAGCGCGCTTTAATTGCCACTACCACATGGCGCGGTGCCTCTCTAATTACCGGCGGTTTGACCCTGAATATCATCCCCTGTGCGGCCATGTTCTCCCACCACGTCCGCTCCGCCGGCTCCACAACATGGTCCCAGTACGCTGATGTATCCTTATTCCGCAAGATCTCCTTCTACATACTCAGTATCCATTTTTTCTTGATGGCCGGTTTTAACATTTTCCTCATCTCGACGATCCGATACGCCGTAGAACACGTGGGCATTGCGCTGGATGATGCGCCATCCATGTTGAGCGTACAGGGCATCGCGAACATCTGTGGGCGGTTGACTGCGGTAGCGGTCAGTTCCAGTCCGCTGACCGCCGGTAAAGCGGTCCGCTACAGTACCCTGCAGCTGGCCACGGTGGTCGGTGCGCTGTCCATTGTGTTTTTTCCATTCTGTGATAATTTTTACACGCTGTGTGTCTGCACGGGATGTGCCGGGTTTGGGCTGGGATGTCGTTGGGCGCTGCTGCCGGGTTTGCAGATGGATGTTTTCACATCCGAGAGATTTTCCACGTCATGGGCATATGGAATGTTTCTGCTGGGAATTGGTTCGTTAATTATGCCACCCTTAGGAGGTAGGATAATGTGGAAATTATGTGGGAACAGTTCCAGTAAATTTCATTGATAATCCAAATTACGCGATCCCTTAGGAAAGACTAAGCAGTAAACAGACTATTCAGACTGCGGTAGCGCTTTTTAAGCAGTAGTGCTCAGGTTTTTAGAACCTTTTAATAGCTTTTTATTTTTTGGATTAGTTTTCTCTCTGGATCCATAAATTTTCGGCAAAACAATATCGTGTGTCTGATGTTGTGCGAAGTTCAAACCACATCCTTATTAATTATGCAACATGGATATATTTTCTGTGTTTGCAGAGTGGATAGCCAAGCTGAATGGTGAAGAAGCATCACCGTTTGTTTTTGGTGGGAGCAGCATTCTACTGGCAACCGGATGCACCCTTGTAATCCAAGTTTGTGCACCCAGTAGGCGCAACAAACTGCGCTATCCAGGCTTTCAAAAGAGTGTCTTGCAAGTGAATCTCAAGTGATCAATCGGGGTGCCCATACGTTCAACGTCCTATAAACCGCTTTCTAGTTTATACACGCTGATATTAGAGTTTATTCGTTCGTCCTCCTTGCTGATCTCCGCAAGCTTCCAGTATATTTATTCCCAGTTTATAAATTTAGTTTACGACGCTATGGTAATTTATCTTTAAAATCTTGTACTCTGCAAAAAATGGTAAAAATAAAAATGTCACGAAGATCTCAGAGATGCACTTCTGCTGAGCAACGGTGTCTTTTCATTGATGCCGACTGCACTCTCATCGGTGATCCCCATATTTGGATCCCGAAAAACATCTGGATCGACTGCATCCGTATCTTGGGTGTGACTGAGAGTTTCTGACTGGGGTTTTTCAAGGAGGCTGTGTCTTATTCCATAAGAGAAATATATAATTAGACCTACCAACAGAAAAAGAGATTATTGTACATTGTCAAAACCGAGACCCGTCTCAGAAATAAAGTTAACAATTCACCTATTGAGAACCAAATGGCCATTCGAGTCCATGTCATCCCTGAAAGATTCACCAGCAACAAAATATTCAGCGCCATCGACAGGGCGGGAACAAACGGCACAGACGGCATTTCAAACGGTAAACGCAGTCGCCGCTTATGATGCGCTACGATGACAGCGTACGATGCCACAAATCCTAGTCCAAATAGGATAACCAACAATAATGCCCACCATATACACTCTTGGATCTCGGAATAAGCGTAAGAAAACATGGATAAGAAGGCTCCCACGAATATGGCAAAGGTCACCACTGCGATATCCACCGCATACCGGTTCGGTCGTGGAGCGATGGAAAAACGCCGAAAGGAGTCTTTTAGCTTGCCGGCCATCATGTCCTGCTCAAAATCGTCGGGAAGTTCTATTGCATGACTTTTCCTGCGCTGGACATCATACACGGTAACTCGATGTTGATAATGTAACACAATGGAAGATGCCGAAACAATCGTATCTACAACAGAGAAATCATTTTAAAAAATACAATACGATCCTAACACATTTAACGTGTATGACTCACAGGCTATTAGTGTTCCAACGCTCAGAAACTCTACCAAGATTTCCACATTAAAAACCACAGCCAAAGCTGCAGCCAGTGCGCCAAAAAACATTTCGGCAAATAACGGAGTTTTGGTCCGAGAATTAATTTTTCCAAAAATTCTGAATAGGAGTCCGTCTTGAGACATGGAGTATACTACCCGTGTCAGCGAATAAAGTCCATTTATCTGCCAAAATGATACTGGTAACGCTAACAAGGCAGCCACAGTTTTCCTCCATCCACCGGCAATTATATTAATGAAACGATCATATACAGGCTAATAATAATTCCAGATCGTATGTATTTACCAGTTTAATGCATAGAATTCCTAATCGCAAAATAAAAAAAGACTCACCAGGCCCCCAATTAATCCAATAACAATCCCCAAAGCAACAACGCCAGCAATGACTCCATGACCCAGCTGCGCAAATGCCTCTGAAGGATTATAAATAGTGCTGAATTCGTTTGGAATTACAGTATTAAAATATGTAATATCTTTTACCCGGAAACGCGGACTCCGGGTCAATTTCCCGAAACGGCACCATCAACGTAAGCGCTGTCATAAACAGAAATGGCCTAAGAAAATTAAATCCCGTATCGTTGTACAGTGTATATGCAGGCGTCAGGTTACTACCGGCTGCTTGCAGCAGATACAGGACGACCATTATGCCGAGGGATGTAAAGAGTGCCATGGGAATCGTTTTTTGAGGATTCGCCGTCTCTTCTCCTGCAATCGGTAGTAAGAATTGAGCTCATGCAAAGTCCAGGAAAAATTAATCAGTACTGCTCTCTCTTGATTACGCATATGCAGATATTTCAGTAAAACTCATTACTCTCTGCTTAACACATGTAATTAACAGCGCCGAAACATTTGTTAAGTCTCACTGGTCAGTAGCGATTAAAATGATAAAATTTTATTTTGCAATTTTTATGAGGATACCTGCACATGCAACTCCTTCAAAACCAATAAATGCATAAAAAGACGAGGCGGCTCCTTCCATTACTCCCCGAAATCCGTTGGGTAAAAACCCCTCGACAGTCCAGTTGCTGAAGTCGGCGAAGGCGAAACCCGCAGCTAATTGCAAAACACGCATTTGCTTACTTACTTATTTGAAATGCTTAATGCCTGCTTTATTATCAGCATTTTTCTTTTTACGTCGGTAATCTTCTGTCATAAACTCACCAATGCATAGCACTATAACGGCCAGCTGAAGCCCGGTGAAGACATTGCTAGTGAAAACTTCACAGAATCAATCAAAAATGAATACATGCACATTTATGACCACGGCGACGGCATCATGCTTACTGGAACTATTAACGCCGAACAGAAACACAACCAGGGACACCAGTCCAATACCGAGTGCCAGTAGATCCGGATATGCGGCTAACATCGGACTGTGGAACGTCCCAACGTAGGCCATGGTGTAGTTGCTGACAGCGTGATCTGCTATAGAATCAATAGCTCCGCTAATGGCGCTCGACATGGACGATAGGGAAATCAGCTCCTCCAAAATCACTTGCCAGCCAACAACAAATGCAATAAATTCTCCCAACGTGACCTATAACATTTCGTTATTAAATTTGGTTAATTTTGGTCAGGTATTGACAGTCTACTTGAGCCATATAACTGTGCAGAAGTTGTCAGGTGTAAGTTTGACGATACTTGCATAAGTGAAAAGATATCCTGATCCAGCACGCGGAATTGTGGCGGCAAATTCGGCATAGCACATTCCGGTAGTGAAAGCTACCAACCCTCCAATAGCAAAGGAAAGCATCACACCAGGACCAGCTAAACGCGCGGCAGTCCCTAGAAAAGCAAAACCGAAATTAAAATTATTGAATGTTATCATCAAAATATTATATCGTTTGCTTTCTTTTTACCGAGAACGACAAAAGCTCCACCACCACTCATCTGACCGATCCCAATCATGATGACCGCTAACGGCGTGAGTATGCGGCTGAGTTCCGTGGACATTACATCGTCCGAGATCACTTTGCGTCGGGTTAACCGCGACAAAAACCGCCTGCTACGCGCTTTCCAACCTGGAGAATCACTGTCCATCGTGCAAAATTATTGGTACAAAAAGTGCAAAAACACCGTAGATGGTATTTTAATGAAAACGGCACATCTTCTTAAGTGTGATTTTGCCAGTGCCTTTATGCGTGAAAATCAAAAGCCGCTGCATATGTGATATGGGCAACATGAAATGCAAAACTCGATATCACAATAATATTTCTGAGCGAGAAACTATTTAGTACAAATTCATACAGCAGCCAAAGCTGTTTTTCAGTAGGAGTAATTTTTCAAAACAAGCAAAACAGTGGCCGGTATGTCTGTTACGATCGCCGCAAGCAAATCGCAGCGCGTACAATAAAGAATAATAACTCCCTTAGGGCAAACGGTAATACTGAATTAAGCGACGGTAAAGTCGCTACTGTGCGTTGTAGAAAAAGCCTCAAGATGAGAAAATCTGTTCAGCCCAACAGCGGTAACTTTTCATCGGATTCTGTCTCGTTAAAATTAGACAGCGTTCGCCTGAAGGCTCCAGGAGAGAAATCCTTGAATTCATCACTATTCCCTAGTCGCCCACCGGGAGCATCTGTTCCAACTGTTTCGGCATCAATGCGGATATTACTATGTTCCATTCCGTAAAACAAATAAATTACCAAACCTAGAAAACATGGTCAATTAAATACTTTACAATATTACCGCCTTACCCATTCATTTTCTGATCATAGTTTGTCAGCAATAGTAGGGTCATTATCCTAATATTACCACATAATTGTAGACGTACAGTTCTACCGAGAAAACAAGCCGGTACCTAAAATGATCCAAGCACCAAAGCGAATCCATGTTAATTCGGCAACAAATACCAGAAGCGATAAATTCAACAAAATCGACACTATCGGAATCATCGTTGGAAAAGGCATCTAAAACATAGTTGTTTTTCAAATCGTAACATAAACTGATCTGGAAAAAGGTTGCAATTTACCCGAAATGGTATTCGCAATTTTCTCGTTGGATGCGCAAAAATCACAATGAATGATAGGAGTGCGCCGATAAGTAGACATATTCCCGGTATGAACGTCCACGGAGAAAAGGACGTTTTGTTCTGCGCCATATATACCGAAGCCGTAAGGAACAATCCCATAAATATACAAAAACAGACCAGCGCAATATCCACTGCAAACTCAGGAAAAAACCAGGTGCATCTCTGGCAAAATGGCCAATTTCGAGGGGAACTGGATACTTCATCTGGATCAGCTATTCTGAACGGTTCTAGTTCTGGTTCGACATCACTGTACACTCTGACCCTACAACAGTATTCCGTTTGAACAATTAAATGATAAATACATTTCAAGGACAGTATGCGCTTTACAAGGACCCTTGCCAATTGTTTAATACAGGTAACTTTAGAATTGGGGAGAGTGGAATTTAGTTTACTGTACCTCGCCTGATAATGCAAAATAACCGAGCAGCCGGCAACAATAGTGTACGCCACCAGGGTGCCGGCATTTTGGAATTCAACGAGTATGCGCAGATCAAATATCAGGGTGAAAACAGCGGCCAAAAAACAAAAAATCATCTCGCCCCATACTGGTGCATTCACTCCCGAAGACAGCCGGGCAAAAACCGGAAAGAGTAAGCCATCAGATGCCATGGCATACCCAGTACGACCCACGGCGTAAACACTGCCAATCTGTCCATTAAGGCAATCTCTTTATCCCATAATAATTCAGACCAAAAGTACAACGCAGAAAGGCAACAAGGGTGCTTACCAAGCTGCCAAACATGCCCAGTGCAATTCCAATTCCTACGAAAACTGACGCTCCTTCCAGTCCGAGATACCGGAAAGCCGATGGAAAAGCCGCTTGAGTGGACAGTTGGTCAAATGGAACTTCTAGGGTTATTGCTAAAAGTAAAACATAACTGCGATTGTTACTTAGTGTAACTTCTCATACTGTACATAATTTGAGAAGCAAGATACTGCACCTGCAGCCATAAGCACATACAATACAATCAGTATTGACAAGGCGCCTAGAATGGCGCGCGGTATGGTCTTCCGGGGATTAAAGGTTTCTTCTCCTAAAAAGTGATATAGTAACAATATTAGCAGAAAAAGATTCATGTACAAATACAATTTCTTCAGATACAGTAATACACTATTCATAATTATTCTGCGTATTATAAAATATCTCACCGGCTGAAGCGATGCCCTCGAATCCGATATATGACGTGAAACAGTTACAAGCCGCTTCCATTACACCTCGGAATCCGAAAGGAAAAAATCCTTTGTATCGCCAGTTACCGATACTGCCCAGTGCAAACCCATATCCAATGCAAAACAGTATTATGATCATATTGATCACATTCAAAGAATTGCTGACCATTGCTACAACGTCAGGTAAAAAAACAGATCAGTAATTCAATAGAATATCGCTTATCGACTACATGAAATTTTACCTGAACGACTTAAGCCAAAGCTCATGATAAAAGCCGCTACAATGGTTAGTAATACACCCACAAAATCGGGATAGGGAGCCAGGACCGGTGCTTTAAAAGTCCCGATGTACGTAATAGTGAAGTTACGAATGGCGTCGGAGGATGCGGCATTGATGGCGCCGCTAATCGAGCTGCACACACTGGATACCGACAAGATTTGATCTAACATTAATTGCCATCCCACGAAGAATGCCATGAATTCTCCCATTGTCACCTGTCATTAAGTTAACCATATGCATACGAAATAAAAATAATCAACTTTCGTCTTCGTACACAAGATTCGAAGCACATGATTAAAACTGTCTTCGCTCCACCATAGTTAAACAACAGATGTGCCACTATGGAATAATCTAATCTTGTGATTCACGAACATAATCATACTCGAATAACTGTAATTCAATCGCTTTTAAATTTAGCTGAATGGAATCCGTATTTGAAATCTGGAATAAAACTAGTTGAAATCTATTTGGAATCTGGAATTTAATGCATGCCATTAAACTAATGGTAAGCATTCTAAAATAAGCTCACGTATGCAAACAGATATCCGGATCCGGTGCGAGGGATGATGGATGCAAATTCAGCAAAGCACAAAGCTGCCATAATGGCGACCACGCCAGAAATGGCAAACGATAAAACAACACCGGGCCCAGCAGTACGCGCAACACTTCCTGCAATACGTGAAAGTCACTGTTGAGTTTTAACACAATTCAAAAACGGCAACATTTGTTTACCTGCAACCACAAATGGTCCACCACCAGATATCTGGCCAATACCGAACAAAATAATGCCCCATGTTGTTAACACACGTTGCAGATCCGTCTGAAGGGGATTGGTACGAATGACCTTTCGACGGGTCAGTTTTAATGGCAAATCGGAAATAACCTGATGAAGTCTGCCCAAAACATTTTCCATGTTTCCAGTGATCCGATCGCCTTCCCAGTTCCCAGACATTCGGAAAACCGTCAAAAGCTTTATTATTATCGTTACACTTTTCCAGCACAGCCATAAATGTAAAAGCCGTAGTTCGGCAACATGTTGTAATCGGCATCTTGCCGGTAGCAAAATAAATACGCAATTCTTACCACACTGTTGTTAATAAAACTAGATTTTACCGGCTTAGTGTGGCTGATTAATTGCTGGCTCGCAAAGTATCTGTATGTACTACGTGCTGAAATTTGGAAGACGGTAGGCAACACGGTGACCGCTACCAAAACTTGCAATTATTTCGGTAATTATTTAAAGTAACTCAAAATGAAAACCATGATTTACACTTTACTGAAACAGCGTTGTAAACTTCATAAACCACTTGCGCCACAACTACAACGGAGTGGAACAAATCCTCGCAAAACCTTTATGTAGACTAAAATTTTTAGAGCACAGGAGACACAAACCAACACTACCAAAACAAATTAATTATCGCAAACGTCATCATAATAACTTACGGGTGCAACTCTGAACATCACATATTCACAAAGAACAGTTAATATGCAAATAGAATGACAGAAAATGTGTGCAATATCTCCATCCATAACGCATAAATTAGTGCCCAGCTTTGAAAGGATTGTACTGATCCTGTTGCATGCTGCTGAGAGTGTGGTTCACCAAGCGATGATGAGCTTCGTCCGCTCGGATTGCAGCAAACATGTCTCTTATTGTAGCATTATCCTACAAATGAATTAGATACGAGTCTGTACAAAGTAAAGTAGAAATATTTCGTTTTGAATTTTTGAAGAAAAAAATAACTATCGAAGATTGTAAAAATCCACGAATTACGTCGCACCGGGCCCTAGGAAGTGTACGCAAAAAGAGTCAACACTGCTAACCGGTAACTTCCAATAACGTTTCGCAATTCCAGTAGCCGGCTTATTATTCCATTCGGGAATTTTTCCGGCATCGATGTCCTCCAGCAAGCGAGTGTAAGTTTTAACAGCCTCTTCTTCCAAATATCCGACAAATCGATGGCAAAAACGTGGGCTGACCAAATACAGTAAGAAGAAAATGTTAACGTATACTCCTTGAGAAGCTGTCACGCCGAAACGGAAAAGCGGGCCAGGTTGCTTCATTTCCAGGACAACCATCAAATGCATTCTTTCGTTTTCGGCTTCCTCTGTGACATGAAGAACCATTGTTAAAATTCGAGTAACTGGTAATTTTCCCCGGGGTACAATCTGTAGCTTACCCAGCAAAGTATGAATCCAACCGTAATCCCGTTTCATAGTTCGCAATGATTTTAAATGTCGCACCATTGCTCCCATCATGCCTGCAAGTACAAAAATAATCGAACTCAATACGAAATCTTATACGAGTACAATATTTTTGTTATACCAGCGTTAGAAGAAATTAACAATGTTTACTTTGAATGCAATTGTTGTATACGGGTGCACAAGCAAAGTTTGAAAAACGCATCTGTATTTTTCACTGTATATTTCACCCACCAGGAACACCAGCAATATTCTCCAGATAAATTAACCGGCTGGGGGAAAAAGTAGCAATATGAGCTAGAAATCATCAGTGGGATGCCAAGATGACTAACCGCAGCCAGTTCTTTTCGTTTAACGTTCCGAATGTGTATCCCGACAGCAGATCAAAACCTGCAAAAAAACCGACATGAAAACAGTACTGCGAAAAAACGCTTCGTTAAATATATCTGTAGCATAAAACTGCAAAATAAAACACAGTCTTTTGCGTCCTCTTTTTATTACCGAATCTGCACATATGCACAGACAGATATGCCATCCAATCAACCACCCCACTCGGCTTTTTATGGGCTATTCGCACATCCTCCAGCTGCTGCGCCGTCCAAATCGGGTGGGGCAGCGTTTCTTCTCCAATCTGTGGAATGTTTTTGGGAATAAGGCTGCCCGGTTCGGGAAACGGATTATTTCTTGTGCCAGCGCTGCAATATAACAATTTATTGTGTTAAATTCACAGTAATTAATTATAACGATTGGACTTGGTCGCATCAAATAGCATATAAAATTATAAATGCTATACAATGTTTTTTGCGCATCCGTCCACTGGTGCAGTAGCTTAATCGCCAGTTTAACGGAATGTAGTATACTACTGTGCCCCATTAAAGGCCCGTGTCAAAACTTTTGTGTTTTACCACTTTACCACAATATTACCGTGATTCAATAATTTTAATATTCCTATGGATGGGTTGTTTACTTTTGCTACAATGTTTTGCAAAAAATATGTAAAACCTAAAGTTTCTCAGTTATAACTGCAGCACTCACATTGTTTCCATTTCTTTGAAATGAGGCAATGCACGATCATCCACTTCTCGCAGTACTTCGGAGGCGGTTTCTCCGCCTGGTCCTTTTAGATTTTTCCCGTTCTTCTCCGAAGAGCCCGAAGAATATGAGTTCGCAGCCCCGCTCTGGTCTTTTTGTGCGATGACGGTGGAGGTTGACAAGTGGTTCTGTAAACATCCAGGTGGATGTCGCGACAGTAGATGCCGTGAAGTCGTTCGTCCATGGTGTCCAGAATGCACTCCATCCGAGCTGTTCAACCAAGTTCCAAAGCTACTGGACTGTAAATAAATACTGTATTTTGGAAAACATCGTGCCATCAAAGGATCTGCAGCACGGCACAATGAAAAACACGAGAAAGCTACTCCCCGCATTTTGCAAGCCGAATTCTGTAGTACAATACTAATGATGCACTGGTGAATGTTATAGTACGTATATGACAGGTACTGTGATCTCACAAATCAAAACACTCTTTGATCGGTTGAGTCGGGCTGACGAATAAGCTGCATTTGTTAAGCGAACAATAAAATTTAATGTGAATCAGCTCAATCTGCGTTTACTTCTATACCAAAGCATGGGTTTTATCCTGCAGTTTGCAAGACCAACGAAAGCTCATTTTTAACTACAGCTAGCACATTTTTCATGATGAAATCTGCTTCCACTTTACTGACATTTTCTGGAAGCGATGTTCGTACCAATACCGTTATTGACGTCACAAGCGTACGCGATACTGGCCGTGAGGATGCCGATGAGCATGGTCTGATGAAAATTCTAAACGCGGTTGCGACAGTTTTTGAGCCGGCTGACAAAGTAAGAAAGAAAGGTCGATTTTTTGAGCGGCTTATAATGTATTTCATAAGTGCATTAAATTGTGATTATTATTATGGTATTAAGTGAAAGGCCGTGCCAAATGCAGGTTAAGAAAAAAGCACATAAAATAATTTTCACTGGCCTAATCCTGTAGAACAGTCTACCTGTAATTTTTTCATACGGCCTACCGTGTGCATTTACATAACAATGATACCAAAATTCCATGATTTTGAATAGTTTACAAAGTTCAAATCAACAGAAGTTTTACTGGTATATATAGGCAGATTACAGCATCCTTCGATATTCTTCCTATGACTAACAATTCAACTGCAGAATTGTCTGCTTCCGCATTTTCATTGAATGTACTAAGTTAATTTGGCCGGAAAACAACATGAAGTACAATCACACCGAACGTTTTCGAGACAACGGTACAAAGGTAAGATAAAAACTGTTCAATTCTATCCCAGTGCTGCCAATAACCAAAATAATTCATAAAATGAATAGAGATATACGTAAAAAACGAATGATATACGTAAAAAATACGTAACGCCATATTCCTCACATTTCGTAAAACAGCAACTATTAGCTTCTCGGCTATTACGATCACGCCCGAAGGAAATTCTTAAAGAGAAACAATTCTACATGAAAAAGAACTCAAACGCTCTTTTCTGACTCTTCGGTTTTTAATTTCTTGGATCCCGGAGAATCTGTGGAGAAATCATTTTAAACATTTTTTTCATGAAGTTTAATCCCAAAAAGGCAGCGAAAGGCAAATATTACGTACCAGATTCTTCTGCTTCGCGTTTCTTTTCCACTTGATCATTTTTGGTTTCGGCGGTCGATGCATCAGCTATCACAATATGAATTTTAGAATAATAATGTTATATGACCAAACAAAGTCGTAATCTTATAATCCTAAACTGAAAACAACATAAAATTAAAAATATATTCCGATTACCTACACCTCTATAATAAGAATACAAAACGTAATGCACAACGAAAAAAATCGTCGCTAAAGCGCTTCCATACCCGAATCTGTTGCCGTTTCCTCAGGTTTTTCACTCTTAGTTTTGTCTTCCTCAGCTTTTGCAGCTTTTTCTTTGGAAGGCTGATATTTAAACTGACTATTTGGCTGATCGGGTTTCATATTCCGGAAAACTACAAAATGTCACAACAAAAAAAGGGCAAAATTCATCACATGGTAGAGGGCTTAACTCTGCAGCACACAACACCTACTTCGATTGTTTCGTGCTTCCAAAAATGTGTCCCAATACGTATCGAAATATGCTTGCTCTTCTTTTCCTTCCAGCACGCGCGCTTTGTATTGGGTACCATCGATGACCAATTTATTGTTATTATGAGAAAGGATATTATCCAGCACCTCCTTGGCTACACCGTTTTTGAAACGAATTCGAGCCTTTTCGGGAAATCAATCGTTAGCTACTGTAGGGGCATACCGAATCAACAAATACAAATATTATGAACGCACTTCACGTTGACCGCGTTGATGGTCCACATATTCCACGGGGTGCCGCGCTTCAAAGAATTCTTTGATTTTCATGTAGTCAATGGCTTTCTGGGTAGAAACGTGCAGCACCGAACCAGGAATTTTGGATTTTTCACTAAACAAGTAAACAACACTACACACCGCATTCAAAAATGGTTAGGCAAACTAGTAATATAATCCGAAAGCCTTCTCACATCTGCTCTTTCTTTTCAACCTCCTGTTTCTGGCGTTGTTCCACATGATCCTTACTAGAAGCGAAAGGGCCGAACCGTCAGATAAAACTTTCTCAAAAAATTAATCAAACACGTACTTCCAAGCTCTCATCATTTCTCTGCCGTCAAATTTCGTTTCCACTTCAGATGCCGCCAGATATTTCTCCGCATCAGCCTTATTACGAAAGATAACGGAGACACTTCCCTGTTGACGAAGATGCACATAGAACATTTACTGTGACAAAATTATAATACGGCTTCAAGTTTAAAGTTTAGTTTTTCCTTAGATTGCTTTTACGGCTTTTCTAATATTATATGAACTTTTCTGTGTACTGATACACGCCGTACGTACCTTAAATTTCCCGCGCAATTTTGCATCACCGTCCTGGAATTTATGAAGAACGATGCCTTCAATGGGACCGAATTTGGAAAAATAATCTTGCATCGCATCCATGGACGCGGTTTTCAAGAACCGTTTCTAAATAGCCAAATTAACAATAAGCTAAATAAAACCCAGTCGCCGCAAAATTACCAAATCAGTATTCGTATTTCACAGCGCGAAAAAAATCACGATCAGTATAACTACCTCCATACAAAAAAAAGATTACAAATCGTCAAGAAAATTTTATAACTTTTTTATAGTCCAAAGTTTTGAAGAAGTTAGCTGAATTTACATAGCATACCGCATGAACAGTTCGATTTTCGCGATCAGCCCGCTTATCGTCCGAATCTCCAGTGAACGGCTGTGTCAGCTTTATTCGTTGGTTCGCGTCATCAATGACGAACATAGTGGAAAACTTCTCCAGGCTGGGAATGATGTCCTTCGGATTCGTAGTGTATTTCTGTTAACATACATCATCAAAAACTTTGGAAAATTCTAATTCCACAAGCGCGACCCTGCAAAAAAGCCTGACTTCGGATTCTAACATTCGCTCACCTTGACTCTGTTGCATTTCATGATGGTTTCTACCGGCACCCATCCCTCATCCTTTTGGACCAAGTCCCGAAAAAAGGCGTCGATAGTGAGGTTGAAGTCACCCAAGTAATACTAAGAGCAATGAAGAGAAAACGTTCAGCATACTGGTGTTCAGTCAACAGGCACAGCAAACATAGGTGGTTCAACGAAGAACCGTAATACCTCAATTTGCGCCACGATCTTCTTCGCGATGTCATCAGCACGCTGTTGGGCCAAGACGGTACGTGATTTAGCTTCGGCGGTATCACTGGACTGAGATTCCGCGGAGCTGCCATTCGAAACACCATTTTTGGTCTCGGGTTCCGCCGGTATGTTGCCAGTTGCGCCAACGTCAGCCATTCCGAACAGTCACAGACTCACAGTCAACAGACTGCTGCTTTAACCAAATGTGGCCTTTAAAAGAATTGTCGACGTTCTTAAACGACTATCAAATCAAGCCGAGAAAGAGATCAGCAATACATTCAATAAAAGAAACAAGGAATTCAAACCCGCAAAAAAAACAATTCAGAAGACTGCGGAGCCTGGGTTAATCGTAAAAATACCCATTATACCCTATTAATTTGTCAGAATTTGCAATTTTTGCTTATAAAAAGTGCCGTACAGGTCCGTAGCCCGTCCTTAGCAGTGTCCGCCGCACAAGGGCGGTCGTAATTTTTTCTCAACTACGGCCCGAAGGGGTTTGGTTTGCGCATTCTGTCGTTGATTACGCAACTATTTTATGGGCATTTCCAGAGTTCGTAAGATTTAAAGATTTCTTCCGATTTTCACTTCCGGTAGTGTATAACCAACAAGACGATGTGTATAAAAGGCATTGTTCCGAAAATTAAGGTATGCCTGCCTTAGATTGCGTCGTTTATTCGTATTGTGCAGTAAGTGTAATAGATTTTACAGGCAGTGGTAGCTGACAAAGCACCCGTGAACTTGTATCATCATTAATGTGACAAGTTTGAAGCTGTAACTTCTAACTAGTAACTACTACCATGCAGTATTTATTTATTATAAACCAGTTTACCTAAATACTTATGTTTCAGTCAAAGTTCCTGCGCGAATCGAATTTCATTTCTTCTTGATAACATAGTAACTCTGTTGCATGCTCACCATCCAGCACGTACCGGTAGTAATGACACTAATTACGACAACCGCTCACCAGGGCACATACCGAGGCTATAAATTCAGAAAAATCTCATTTTTGGCAGAAAGGTAGAACAACTACGTAGGATGCTTAAAAAAATTATTTCATGTGCCATGGCCAATGGGCGTGGCCAAAACGAAATTTAAAAGTAAATCCTACACTGTGCTGTAGCCTACAGGTATGCACCGTGTCATACGGTAAAACTTTAAACGATTTTCTTTAATTTGTATATGAAGAAGCTTTTCGAATATTACTTGTAAGTCATAGCACACAAAAGTATTCCCAATTCAGCCGTCTGCGAAACGGGTTTGTAAATGGTGTGCAACGCCTGCTTTAACTTGTTTCGCATGTCGGTACGCACGTGTTACCTACCGAGTAGATTTTGTAACTAGTTAACAAATTGTTGACACAAATTAAAGTAAGGAGCAGCGGAAACCGATCCAGAATCTAAACTACAATCTGCAGAAAGGGAAACAGCTATTACAATAAGCGAGCAGCACAGATAAATTAAATGAGTTAGCTGCCTTCGTACTGATTGACCAGTATTATAAGTCTTTTAGTGTATGATGCCAAGCATTTCCTATAGGCTACAGCACAGTGTAGAATTTATTTCTGAATTTTGTTTTGGCCACGCCCTATTGACCATGGCACATGAAATAATTTTTTTAAGCATCCTACATAGTTGTTCTACCTTTCTGCAAAAAATGAGATTTTTCTGAATTTATAGCCTCGGTATGTGGCTACTATGTGCCCTGGTCAGACATCTACTTACTTTATACAGTATACAGCATGACTGATCGGAAAGCAAAATTAAAAAAGCGACGCTAATTAATAAGTAAGTTTCGGAATGCTGCTCGCTTTAAATAGTACATACCGGTACAGTATTACTGTATAGTGTATACGATTATTGTTGATTGTTCTACCACGGAGCCATGAATTCTCGTCAGTTGTTAACTTGTTGCTAAGTGCATACGGGAATAACGGGATAATACGGCTACGTAGCACAAAGATATGCACAACACGATTACTTTGTACTTAGTTAGGGAGCATTCCCAAATTATTAAACATATATTGCATACGTAATTTGGGAATACGATTCGCAAGCACTACCCTAACCTTTGCCTAAGCTTTTGGCTGTATCTTTACAACTGCAGAAAGTTTTGCCTACTTTACTTTGACGAAAGCCCTTGATTTCTTTTTCAGTAAGAAGTACGCTAAATAAAGAGTTTCAATGAAATGGGTTACCCTGTGGACAATGGTCACAATAATAATACGTACATGATCAAGTGCGTTTTCCTTTTCTTGGATTCACACAATTCTCCAGTTGTGTACACAGAATACAAATCCAAAAGGTGCCGCAATTGAAACTGAAAAACAGATTACTTAATGGTGCAATACAAAGTAGTACAACATAGTTATGTTACTTATATGTAGCTGATTAATAATTCATCAGTTACTCAATACAGCAGTTAACAGTACTTCGAAGTATCGTTAACTGTGCAACAGCTTATGTTTAAGCTTTACTCTACAGGTCAGTACTGTTTGCTAAAAATCGTAAACCAATCAAAATTTACTTGCTGCGCAGACTTCTTCCCACTCAGAGGTAAGAAGTTGATCTTTTCTGTTCATATGAGTATGGTATTGTGACTATTGTCGTATAGTCTTTTCATAATTTCTTTATATAATTTGTGGTAGCACAGTCATCTGGAAGAATATTATTCAACACTTCGCAGAAAAATTTCTTCTAAATTTCTGACCTGTAAGATTGCAGTGATATTCTGGTTGTTCCGCGATGAACTTATGTTGCTAGATTAATTTACTCCTGGGAAGATCTCCCATTGACGATGGGTCATTTAATAAACGGAAGATGTATCCCGGAAATTTCAGATTTATATGCTTGGCCGAATTTGACTAGTGTCACGAAGCTCACTGCATAATCTATGAAACTTTCTCATATTGTAGCAGGCACAAATGAGTGAGTTGGTTGGATGAATTAGCTGTGGAACCTGCCCATTATTAGTAATGTCCAGGATTCTAAAGTTTAAAAATTCTTTGATAATAACCTCGCATTTATGTATCGTTAGGAGTAGAACTAGTAGTACTAAATAACAGCTAACCGATAAATTTATCCTTATTATTAATTTGACCGTCAATTTGTTGGCTGGCTTTTCAGTATGTGAAGGCTATCTGTACCACTGCCAACCAAAAGTATTTTCGATTAGTAACATTATTACTAAACTGCCAACCAGAAGTATTTACGATTAGTAACATTATGTGCGTACGTATATTTGTTGATCAAGCCATTAATCAACATTCATGTCATTAATTAACAAGACATTAATTTAACAACAATGTTTTCTGCACCATCTTTTTGGAGAAACAGTACTTAAATGCAAGCGAAAAAGAATGCGAAAAAATGGTTATGTAATACAAAGGTCATAAATAATCGTTTGCGGCGCAGGTGTTCCTCATGGAGACCTTGGCCATTCTACGGGTAGATCTGCTGCACATCCTGATGCCAGCGCGGTGCCGGTTGGTCAGTTTGGTAATTTGTTACGCAGTTTGTCTGTGTAATTTATGGTTATTTTTGCAGAACATGCTCACAACGTTCAGAAAGCAGTGCAGCTACCATTATCAAACCAAAACAAATATCGTGACGCGGCAGTTATTGCAATATCGCGAGAAGGGATCAGTTATACGTTTTTGGCCAGTGAATCCCATGCAGAATTTCCAACGACTTCGCAGATATGGAAATCTAATGATAAGCCTTCTCCTCATGAAACAGTTCAACTTCAACAGGAAAAGGAAAGCACTAGTAAAACACCAAAGAAAAACCTTTCCAGGTAAAGAGTAAAAACACGGTTGGTGGGTTGTGGACTGTGGTCCACGTTCTCCATTTTTCCGCTATTTACGATATAAGAACGCTGCATTTCTTATAAAACTAAGGTCAGTTCCATTTTATTTCGAAAATTTATCGTGTGTTGTGTATAGCCAGTGTTTTACAAATTTAGATTCGTTGCGACAAGCATAATTGGTCGATCCACGAGTGCGAAGTCCAATGCAGCGCACTGCTCAGAAATACTGGACGAACCGGAAGTAGTGGACCTAACCGAGGCTGTTAGCCGGCATGACAAAGCACATAGCAAACTAGATATTTTGCAAGCGGCTGCACACGATCAGTCTCAGGATGATCCTACAAATTCAGACGAACTACGCAGCAAGCCTGGACTGGTCGAGAAGCAGAAAACCGGGTTCCGGAAATACTGGAAGCAGCTGAAAGATAGCATCCACCGTATCCGACCTCATGAGTTTGCAGAACATAAGTAATATTCAGCGAATCGCCGTAAAAACGTTATTCTTACAAGTTATTTTCAAAATATTTTGAGAGGTCATCATTTGCATTATTACTGCAAACTGCATAAACAACATTTATTATAAAGATACTCTGCTGAGTTCGTTGTACTTAATCCACTGCAACAGTACCTTATTTGTACTTAATCAATTCCCGAGTAAAACTCGGGATTGCAACAGTCATCCATATAAGTACTCCACACATTCGGCAATCGCCCTATTTGATCGCAGGATATTACAGATGAACGAGTATTCTACAAGTGATTTAACGAACCATATAATTCTGCGTTTGTAATTTTGACAACCCCTAAAAACATGGCAAATACAGGTGCTATACGTAGAAGTTGCAATTTTTATTATTAAATTTTGATTCTGAGGCCGCTTTCCACACCACATGATCCACGTTAACGTGTGTCAGATTGTTTACAGCACTGTACACAATAGTGACGCATATAAGATATAGTACTTATTATTGTATTCAATATAAATGCACGGTATTGTACATTATTTTACATTGCCGATGCCCGTTGATACTATTTTGTAAGAACTGTTGTTGCAAACTTGCGGCGGAAGTCCGAAACGGCGCAGAACCATAATATAAAGCGGTACTTACCATGGCGTGGTCAGAGTCTGTACTCTGTACCGTACAATGCGGGCCAACTAGGCCAAGTCTGCACAATCTTTGTGCAAGCCGCTGCAACGTAAATTTTGACCGAATATCTCTCTCCTCTCTACATCAGTGAATGTTTGCAGCTGACTTTAGGCTCCACCCAATATGTAATCGAACAAGATGACGTCAAGGCGATTCTGTTAAATCTGCTCAGCTGGGACGAGTTCGATCGTACAAAAGGCGGTGCATTTAGTGCAATCTACGATGAGTACGATCGATTCATCTCCGGCCTCCTTGAGTCATTCAAAATGGTGTAGCCATTTCAAACCCTACTCTACGCTCGTCGCCAAAGCGATTCTGCTCGTGCTTCGGTTCAGGGTTGGCTTCTGCTGGGTGGCAGTACTGTGTCTGTGTGTTATTTTCTCTCTTGGCCAAAAAACCATCAGCTGAATCTTTTTTGTTTATCTTTTGCCTCACTTTTAGGTATTCATGGTCATTCGACTGTAGACTTTTGTTCTAATTTCAATAGCGGTCATTGACACGCAACTGATAAGACTGGCCTCTTTATCACTTTTCTAACAGGCTTTGTTGATCTTCTCCTAAAAGGCTAAATGCTTCGAGTTTCGGAGTGTTGTTGTTGTCGACTAAGGAAATTTTATCGCAACTCTGTGTGCCTGAAACCCAGCTAGATAATACTGCTGAGTGCTGAATGTATTAAAATTGTACGGTTGGTGCCTCGATGCAGACTAGCCCGATGGAGCTTACAGGTTGATTATAAAAATTTACAACTCGCTCCGGTGTGCAGCGTGCACGGTTTGTTATTCCTCGTTCTCGTCCACGTTTTTATGCCCACTTATTTTCTCCTTGATCGTCTCCTGAATGTGGCATGCCAGCGACAGCTTCACCGGACTGTATGGCTATTTGTGTTCCAGCGGAACAAAATGAAACTTTCACCGTGAACGAAGATGTAGTCAGTGTGGATGAAGACGGAACGGACATTGTGTCCGAGACGGAATGTCTACTGACGTCCACGCTAAAAAATGGCCGCATATCACTGCTGTCGTCCGCTAGAACAACCCTGCCACATGAAATCGAAGCCGTTTCCGAGTACACCCATGCCGTGGTTACCACATCGAGAACGGTTGGGCTGCTCCCACCAATTCCCGAGAGCGATGGATGGGAAAGTTTTGAGCCACCGAAAGACTCGGAGGAGGAAGAACAGGAGTCTGCTGGCGAGCGGGAGAAAATGTTTCTGGTAAATCATGAGCATCATGATGATGAAGATGACGACTTTCCTGTTCCCTCCTTCACAAGAATCGTCCATGAGCACGACGAAGCACACTTTGAAGGCCAGCACGACAATGATACTGCCCAGTTGTTTCATGATCTCTTGCATCTTAATCATGTTGGAGACCATGTGGCATTTTCTGGAGCCGATAGTCATCAGTATCTTTTTCAGCATTTTGACACCGACGCCCTGGAGTTCGAAGAGGCTGCGGCGGTTAGACCGAAATTTATTGGACAGTATCTGCTTGGAGATTGTTTAGGTAGGTATGGTTATATTCGTGATAGCATGTTAATTAAAAATTTAAAACAGCGTGAAACTTGAATACTGTACTCGTACGGTAGCTATAACTTACAAGTAAAAACCTGTAGGCTTATAGCAGGTGCCACATGTGCTGGTAAAAATTTCTTCCCGGTAAACTTTTATTTTCTTTGTGTTTTCCTGTTGGTCGCACTCTTTTTCCGATTTTATAAGTAATTTTCTGCATTCTGTATGTTGACCGTATACTTGGAAGTCTGTGTAACTTGTAACCATTATTGCTGAAACGGAACGGAGTTGCTCATGCTTAACAGTTTACTGATTATGACAGTAAAAGTCTGAAACTTTATCACGATGATTACAGTACTACTACTCGTAATTCAACAGTAAGTTTTTTTGGATTTGGTCGTTACGAATTTCGCTGAAGTCTAGTTTTATTATAATACAGTGAGCGGAATTTGCAAGTCACTGTTACGGTGTTACCGTACTTTACGTTTGGAACTACTGTATAGATAATAATTGTACCTGTTACTTATCATTAATATAAAATGTTGATGCTTACGAGTGCAGTAGCCGTAATAGCGGTATTTCCACATGATGGATTATCATGTTATGGAGTCGGAAGTACACAGTGTTGCTTGTTTATGTCTGATGATCCCGTTGGATGAAACCTGAATTGCCTTCTTATCGCCATATCTGTTAATTTGGCATTATTGTCCTTTTTGCTAACTGCTGTACGTATTAATCGTATTATGCATGCTCATAGTATTTCGAAATCGGAAACCAGTAGTCAGTCATCATCATGCGATGATGATTTTCTGGATAGGAGTTTTTGCTTGCCATGTGCCGTGAACAAACCGCATGAATGATTTTAGTTCCATTTGTAATGGTTGGGTTGCGCCAAGGAATTGTAAAGTATAATAAATTATATTGCACGACGCTTATTCTTGCAGAATTAATTTCATGGAATTAACCTTTTGATCTAGGATTGCCGTTAGTGGATTTTTTTAAAAGTAGCTCGATTTAAAAGAAAACGTTTTTGCGTCTTGCTTTCACAGTTTCACGACTTGTGGTTTTTCTTTAATTAGGAGTTCCATTATTATGTAGTTTTATTATTATGTAGATATTGGTACTGAACTTTCAGTCACGCTGAGGTAAATACTAAAACTGTAAAACCTTAAACAAATTTTTGCAACTAGGTTTATTCTATCTTTTTTTATGTGAACGTAAACGGTGGTTATTTAACACATTTTGTTTGCATTTTTAGGTGAAGGAAGTTATGCCAAAGTGAAAGAAGCCTTAAATACAATTACTTTAGAACGGACTGCCGTTAAAATTTTCTCTCCTGTAAAATTAAAAAGGATTCCTAACGGTATGCAGAATGTGCTGAAGGAAGTTAATATACTGCGGAAACTGGATCATCCCAACGTGTGCCGGATGAGGGAGTTATTGAAGAAGGAATTAAAGAAGAAATTGTATTTGATTATGGACTTTGCGGTTTGTGCCATTAGTGATTTGACAAAGACCTTGCCTCAAGAACGTCTTCCGGCCTGGTAATGTGCTCCTTTATAAATCCTCTGTTTCGACGGGGTGTTAACTGGCGTTGTCATTTTGCAGGAAAGCTCACTATTATTTTGTACAGTTACTCGATGGATTGCAGTATTGTCATTCGAAAGGTGTGATACATAAGGACCTCAAGCCTAGTAATCTCGTTGTCACTACACAGGATACCCTGAAAATTATCGATTTTGGGGTCGCCGAACAGCTTTCTCCTTATGCTTCAAATGATTTAATCTTCAGCAGCCAAGGTTAGTGACTTAAAAACCTTCAGTTTTTTTAATTTTGTATCATCATTCTGTTTGCGATCCAGCCAATATTTTTAGCGTAAAAACCAATTTTGAGTTGAATTATTGGAGAATTGTAAGCATGGTTTTTGAACTGGGAAAACGCGATTAGTGTTATAAGCTTTGTAACGACTGATCGTTACAGTATGACGGTTTGTATTTTATGTTATTAATTAGCAACATTTTTAGTTCTGCATTACAGTTACGAGTGGATTTCTGTTATGAATTTTGATATTTATAGCATTGTTGCTGCATATTCAGATGTTTAATTTTCGTGTGGATGTCCTAACAGATTATTGGATACAGTTCAGTATTTGACCTTCTTTGTACACGAATATCGTAAAGCTATGCTTGCTGTTAACTGGTCGAACCGGCTGAAATTCTCACTAAACTTGTTGGGTGTTGGGGACAGGTTATATGGTTTGAGCATCCGATATTTTATATTCTGCATGTATTCATTATTATTTATGCTCTCTGAAATGGTCTACCTTGTCCCTATAGGTGGTTTATCACTTATTCCGACTCTCAAAGCATTCGAGCACCCGTGACTACAACTGGTTTACCAGCTGTGGGCTATACTTGTTGTTGAAAAAGCACCGTATGGCGCTGTCGACCTTTGTGGTTGGCTGTATATGTTTGCGGCCAACACCGCGGTATTCATACGTTTAAGATGCAAAACGTTTGACGATGTAAAATTTCACCACAAAGTTCACAATAAGGTCTCGTGATTTGAAGGATACTGTACCATCCTGCCAAGTAGGACTTGTTTGCTGCCGATCTAGTGCCGGTACCCTTTCGTAATTAATCGAAAATTATAATTTTGTAGTGTGTATACGAATAAATCTGCGTAACTGCTTTTGACTGCAGTTTTATGCGACAAAAAGTTTTGTGAAACCTCGAGGAAAAGTACTTGTGCAGGAAAAGCTGTTTAATAATTATATGAAACTAATATTGTAGCTATGATGATATTTTGATATTTCGGTTACTTATTATGATATGTTGTTCTGTTGAGGTATTCACTGTTCAACATGGCAAATATGTGTGTTATCCCGAACGGAATAAGGCGTATATAACTTGGAATCATATGCGATTTGGTATTTAGTATTCACACATTTTAATTTTTAAAAAATACGGTTACTAATTGACACGACTGCTACTTGTTAGTATTCTCTAACAAGTACTAGTACTTTACGACATGAGTGCTAAATCCGAACCGCCTATGTAGAAGTAATCGAATTGAATTTTTTACGAGATGGTATCATTGATTCGCTGAAAGGAATGAAAAACTATCTCCATCTGGTCCGTTTTAGCCGCAGTCAAAAGCGCCCTTGTGGCGGAAAAAATAGTCTTTGAGGAAGGGATCACGTGGAGCCGTTTTCCACAGGCTCAAAAGCAGCCGGTACACAGGAAACGGATATCACGTGAATGGCAGCAATAAAAGCGAGAGAAATTGGTCGTGAATAGCCATCCCATTTGCGACAGCTGCGTTGGCCAGTCCGGATGTACAAAATTTATACCGTATGTATGTCAACGCCGGGTTGTGCTGTGTGCGGCTGACAGTCGAACAGCTCAGTGCACACTTGATCGATCAGATTCATTCTAACTACAGTATTAGGCTAAGCCTTTTTTTAGACCCAGAGAAAAACGGGGTTATTGGCATTCCGGTGAATGTATAAATATTTGCTCCGAGCAAATGTTGAAGGACAAGGCTTGGGTCGAGAGAAATAACTGCTGATGTTGCGCCTGTTTAGCAGACATAATCGACAAGTAAATATATCGGAAGATTCACTCTCTTTCCTAAAGGCGGCGGCGCAGCAAGAGAAGACGAACCATACTGCTAAAAGCTTGATCTCACATTTACGCCGTCAGCATCTTTGGTTACTCAATGCATATAATTTTTTTTTTAAGCAAGAAAGATTATACTTCCTCGTCATATCTATCTGTGCATGAGATTTACAGCTGCATCCCGTGCATAAACCAGAAGAGCGCGGGGCAGTATTTCTTCTGGGAAAATCAAAAAAAGATTTCGACACTTATAGTTAGCCCTATATTATCATAGGATGGCTCCCTCAAATTATATTGACAAACAAATTATTGTATGGGTAGGAAGCGGACGATGCAGCTTGCGTACGAATGATGAATAACTGTTAAAATAAAAATTTTGTGAAGTCTAACTGCAGTAATTACACCAGTTGTGCAAATCACACTCACAATTGTCAGGTAGCAAACTTGCGGTTCGCTTACTTTAAAATTATTATTTTATTGCACTATGAATTTACGATTATGCGATGAAAGAGAAATATTGCGGGACACCGGTACCGACAGAGATGTCGCGAGCAGCAACATTCTGTTGCACAGTTACAACTCATAACGTTAAGTATTTTGCGTTCAATAAATTATAAATCGCATCTCAACTTGTTTCATGCCGGGGCTAATATGAGGGCGCTGGAACTTTAGCAAATGACTCTGAAGTGAGTACTGGGTAGAGGTGTTATAAGCATTTCACGATTTATTTTGGCAAGTAAGCATTGTTCACTGTATTTTGTGTGTGAAATTGAGGAATTACTTGAAGTATCAAGGAAGTATACAATGGTAGTTATGGTACTGATTCTGCTGCAACAATGACTAACCATATATTATGTGGATCACTACACGTATATGTATTGTATTGCCAGCTTACTTAATTAAACATTTTACGTATAACTGCGTCAGGTTTTATTACTTAATTTTGTCGCATTATGAATGTAGGTACTGAATACTGGTTTCATTACACTGCTTTTAGGCCGTCATTGGACGCCGTGCGCCACCATCCCTGGGTTCGGCGGCACTGGCCGATGCCACCGGCGGGAATTCCCATACAGGAAACTATTGATAAGGCCGCCGTTCGGTCGGTGGACAGCTTCCTGCCCTACATCAAGTCTTATTATCACTCCAGCGCCCGCACCAGTCGAGCTGGCAGTATTTGTTGTACTACGGGTGGACGCATACAGCATCACCATCATCACTGTAAGTTATTATACGTACGTCTTGGACAATTGTTTTTGTTGCTGAACCTTCAAGTTTTTTTAACAACCTCACTTGAGGTGTAGAACAGTGGGGTTAGCCATGTAATATTTTCAGGATTTCAGCTATTATGATTAGCACAGTACCAGCAAGGTGGTACCAGTATTGTATATGGTGATATAGCGATTTCACTTTTGAGCAACGCGATGGGGCAGCTGAAAGCTGAAGTCGAAATGAATAATGAGGGCATGCTACGGTAATTTTATTGATGGTATGGCCTTTTGGGAACTGTTTTCGTGTTGGACTGTTTTTTAAATTAATCAGCTGTTGGCGAGTAGGTTGGTAATTCGTAAGTTGCGATTCGGGTTATTTATTCAGGATCAGGCTAAATTAATGTGTTTTTAATGGATGATCTCGAGGGTACGGATGTGTTTACGTAGCCGCCAGGGTCGACTAGGGTCTAAGGTTTACCAGGCCGATTTTTAATGTCATCAATCTTAACGTGGTAAAATATTGCTTTTGCGGTAGAGAAGCGACCGAATGAAACCCTCGCTGGAAAAAGAGAACTTTTTGCTTGCGTTATTTATTTTCTTTTGGAATGTGAGTACGGCAAGCTTTATTGCCAGAAAGCAGTAAACTTTGTGTAGCTACGAAGGTTGTTAAACATTTCGATAATTTTCCTGTTTTCGGTGTGCTGTGGTGTTGGTGGTGTTCGCATAGTGAATTTCAGTGGTACTGTCGATGTGTGATTATAGTACTTGACAGTACTGCAACAGTAATTTAGGTTTGTGTGTGGTCAGCGGCATTTAAAAACAGTGTCATAAATTACAAAGTCTCAGTGTAAGTGTTGCTTACAAGCCTGTAAGAGAAATTTGCAGATCTTGGTGTATCGGCGCGCTACAATCTAGGTCAACAGACAGGCATAATTCTTCCCTGAGAGCGCATGGTTTACAGTAATTCTCTGCTGCTGATTAGCCTTGATTTTCCAGCAGCGACCCGATTTACGTCAAGCCGTTTGTTATCCAGGGTCACATTCACATACGCCTACACGATCGATTTGTTGATAATCCCATTTTCTGTCGGTGTTTTTCACAGATCCCCGCTGTCATTCGCATCATCTGGTACCGCACAACAGCACCTGGAAATCTTGTCGACCCAACCATGATCGACGTCGAACGTCCATTGAGCCGCGACTTTTAGCGCACAATAACAGTATCCGGAGTATTCATAAACATAGAGATGCTACTAATCGTCGTGCCACTATCGATGAAACCGCTACTGGAGAGCATTCAGTAGGCGCGGCCACATTGGACCGGTCTGAGAGTGCTGAGCAAGGTTGTTTTGCTGTCAAAAAGTGGAAGCTGTGTAGAGTTACATGAATTATGTATTAGATAGACAGTTTGAGAGTTCGCTTGCAGCTATTATGGGTATGGTTTTTTGGACACTTGGTCTTTGTTTGTTGACATGTTGATTTGTACAGCATTATTCCCGGTACGTTTTTTTGTTTCTTTGTTCAGCCTGTGTTTATGCTATAGTGCGCCTTTTTTCTCGTTTAAATCCCCGTCGGCTTTCAAAGTTTCAGTCTTCTGTTTGATACGGTCCCGTTCTGTTTTGTGTTGGGAATTCGCTTCTTGTGGCGAGCTTTTTGTTGATTCGACGAAACGAGTTCCTGATTAATTGATTAAAACCACATGTGACTTGAACTGGCCAAGACAATCAAAACGTTCTCTAATAATATAAATTAATTCTAAAACCAATCAACAAAATTTTGCCAAATCATGATCACAAGAGGTGGCAACGTATCCAAAAATCTAATAAATTCAAACAGAGATAACATTCAAAAAGAAAAATGAGAAAAACAGTGCTACAGCAAAACTTGGAAATCAGCACCACAAAAATTAAACATGTTGAACGGAAGAGACCGTCGATTCTGCACGTGAATTCTGTCTGGAAAACGCCGATTTCGGTGGTGGAATATTCAACATCACGTTCCACTGTTCAAGAGTCGGCCAACCAATCATCGCCAGATCATCTTCGTTATATGCTTCCATCAACAGCTTGTGCATTCTTTCCAGATTTCTCCATATATTTGTTCTCACCGGTTTATATAAAACATATTGTGTATCCACGCTGATCAAGTACAACAAAAACTGATCCAGCATAGCGGGCAACTCCACCTTCACATTCCTGTAGACCAACGCCACGATTTCTTTAACTTCCGTTGCAGTCGAAAACGACTGATTCCGCAGTTTTACCGAGCTACTGGGCTTCTCCATACTCAGTACCACATCGGCTTTATCCAGAAATTCGGGCAGCGGTCCCAAGACTTTCTGCGTGACGTAATCAACTAGACGCAAACAGATGTTTCGCAGCTGCACATCCACTTCTTTCCGACAGTCTATCACGCTAGTACGAATATCCGGGGCACTGCTCAGGAAAAAATCCAACAATGCATTACGACTGCTTAGCGAAAAAATGGAAGATTTACGCTGGACAATGCCTTTAGCAGCGCCCATAACTCGACTGAAGTCTAGCGAATCCTCTTCCGTGCTCAAATCCATTTGAAATAAAGTCAGGTGTTCCCGCAACACAAGGATATGAGAAATCAAAAACAAATCACAATGTAGACGGCCCTTCGCTTTAAAAAGTTCCTCCGCGGCTTTGTGCAAGGATTCCAGAGTACGAAAAATCACCTCTTGAGCCACTATCTGCAAATGCGAATGTAAGGATTAGGGCATACTGGGAATTTGGAGGCTCTGAAAATTTTAAAGAGTGCTCACGATCTAACAACGCACAATAAAACACTAAGGCACCGCACACGACCGGCACGGCTTATATTATACGATTTGGAAGTCTGCCATTTAGTCAAAGTTTTAAAGCCCAAAATAGTAACGCATTAACAGGAATCGTTCAGCAAAAATGAGCAAAACGTACCGCAATAGCTCTTCAGAGGTGCCACTAATGAAAAACAGAACCGCATAACGCTCTTAATATACATCCAGTCAACACTGCCAGAAAGCCCATCTTACCTTGAAAGATTGTGCATCCAAACTTTGGTATAGTTTGGTCAGGAAGCCAACTGCTCTCCTTAAAGTCGGGTACCAGAACCCTTGTGATTCAACAGAAAACAAATATCGCTCTTCGACAACCCGCGAACTCATCGATGACACAGACATACGACTGGAGATTCTATGCCGCGACTCCTCTTTGGATGTTTCCAACAGCTGATGCAAAATTTCCAGTTTTTCCGGGTAAGCAAAATCGCCCTTATTCGGTTTGAATCCGACAATTTCGGCCAAGACAAAGTTGGATACCCTAAACATGAGCCGCTCTCTGCAATCGGCCAGCAGTACCCGAACAAACTCCACAAACGGTGCCATTTCTTGACTAGCGTTGGCGCTGTGCTCACGAAGCACTTCCTGATTGAGAAAGCAGCACACATCCGATATCTTCTCCACCAGATCCATATGTATAATCTCTGGACGGATTCCATCATAAAATATCTGACATATCTGCGCTAGATATTCTGTCAGCATGGGGGCCGGTTGTGTAAAATACTGATAATACAACCGAAACTCTTCTCGGCATACTCGAGCCAGGAAGCTGCAAGCAGCCCGCAAGAGTTCGGTAATATTCTGTTTGGAATTGCGACGAAAATCCACTACCGATGTCTGCACAAAGGGATCGAGAAGTTTCGTTCGCGATGCAAAATATAATCTGTGACAATCCTGCACCAGATCATTATAAATAGCTGGAAACTGTACGCCACGATCATCGATATTTTTCAAAAGAAGACGTATACTCCCGGAATGCTGCTGGAAAACAGAGTAGAGCACCGAGAAGGTGTTATGGACACTTTCACCGGCGGCGACGGCCTGCATCACTTCAGCGACGGCACGTTGGAAACTGCGGTCCACTTCATTGCGAATTAACGCCGCAGCTTTGGACAATAACTGCGAATATCTGGAAAAAAATCTTTTAAATTAGCACATTTATAATCCAATACAATAAAAGTAATAAAAAATAATAAAAAAAATAATATGAATAATAACAAAGTACTACGTATTTTACTTTGATAATAACTGGTAAGTGTTGTATTTTGGTAAGTGCGAACTGCGAATATCTGGAAAAAAATTTTTTAAATTAGCACATTTATAATCCAATACAATAAAAGTAATAAAAAATAATAAAAAAAATAATATGAATAATAACAAAGTACTACGTATTTTACTTTGATAATAACTGGTAAGTGTTGTATTTTGGTAAGTACTTCTGGTGCCAGTTAATCGCAGATCAACACTAAATTGCTCTTGTAAAACACAGTATAAACTGCAAATACCTAGTTCTATACAACGGTGCTTCTTTAAAATCAGGATTCGCGGTAACATAATCCATGTTATGCTGCAACTTATCCAGCCACTCTAAAAAGGCTTCGTTTCCCACGTTAACAGCCGGGGCGTTCAGCTGCACAGCCAGTCGGTCATAATCCAGCAGCGGTTCCATTCTGGCATGCAATGCATCGGCTTTGGACACGAGCTGGTTCTGTGCCGACACCAAATCCTCACAATCGCCGTACAGCGCATCCGTTTTGTCCTGGACGGTTTTCAACGTGCCCATCAAAGATTCCAATTCTTTCTGTGCATCACCCAGATGGGATTGAATCGTCTTCCCATTTTGCAGGAGATGATCGAGGCGAGCACGCTCAGTTCGCAACTGCGGAGAAAGCTGGTCGAGAATGACGGATGCTGATTTTTCATCGGGCACGTTGCTCCTAGATTGTGGAGTGTCTTGTTCCCCATCGGATGAGTTACTGGGAGCAAACGCTTTCTCCACAAGAAAAGCAAGATCTTGATAAAGCTCTTGTTGGCGCTCCGTAAGATCAGCGACGCCGGGCTCGTATTCCCACAATAATAATCGCGAATCATTGCTCATTTCAGAAAATTCGTTGAGTCCAGTAAATAAATCCGAATATTCTGACACGGCAGTGCCAGCGCTTATAAAACCGCAAAACAAAGAATTTATACAAAATGAGAGCCACGGTTTACATGTTGGCAGTGTTGCACTTGTGACAAGTGACTTACTTGTCTTCCTAATAAAAAAACGCAGCAAACAATCGAATTAACTACGTATTCAAATCAAGATTCTTCCATTCGCACTGACGATAGAAATAGTAAATAGTTTGATGATACTTTGATCACACCACGATCAAACCATTTTTGAAATGTCCAGAGCTCCAGATATTAAGCTAGAAGCAAATCAATCCAGCAAAGACGAAGAATACGAAGAAAGTAAAGTGTACAGAATTTACAAAGTAAAAATTGTAAAATAATAACCACAAAAAATTATCTTAAACACCTAAAAGTTGAAAAACGCAAAACAAAAAGTGGAATGAAGTTTTGTACGATCAGTGTTTCCACGTGGCCTTACCTACTGCTAGGCGATCGGTGCCACCGCCCAGGATGGTGTGGTTACGTTTGGGCTTTGGGGCAGCACCGATTCTGCCGTGTTAGATTGTGTTGCCTTAGGCAGTTGGTTTTTTGCACGCTTCCAAATCTGGAATAAATTCCAGATTTGTCCACAGTGTCGCCTTTGTGAGTCTAATAATTCCTGCTCGTCGATTATGTATAACACAGCCGTTTAATACACTGCTTTTACAGCAGGCGCCGAGTAGTGCTAGCAGTGCAGGGACTTCTGATCCTTGGCTGCATGAGCGTGGGTACCGAGGAAATACTGCACAACAGCAGTATCCCAGCCGAGCTGCATCACAGCAGCGTAAACTCGAACCGCAACCCAGCACGTCGCGTGTACAACCAGACGCGCGTGTCGGACTGTCGAAACAAGTAGGTAGTTTGTCTATCGACGACTCTAATACGTCGATTAAAGAGCCGTCTTCTACGGACAGTAGCCGATCTGTGTTTGGTGCTCGACACCGTATTGAATATACGTTAGAGCCGTCTGAAAATCACTCTCATTCTGGCAAGAATATAGTGGTTGCCGGGAGAGACTTGTCGATGTATGATACTAAAAAGTCCGCTGATTTGCAGAAACGTGGCAGACAGCGTGGAAACCAGTCGAATATCCGTTCTGCTGGCTATCAGCAGCGCAACGAGCCGAGTAAACCACAGAATGATCAGCCGGCTGAATCTCAGCAACCGTCGCCGCGTGAGAGTAATTCTCGCGATAATCGTGGTGTTCGACGACCACGCCAGCCGACCATCGATCCTAATAGGATTCTGCGCGATGTAACTCAGTATACCAGCGATCTTGGTATTTATGTACATAAGCTGGCTACTGTTGCCGATATCGCGAAGACGAATGGCCCGGAAATGTTGCATCTGAAGAATATGATTCAGAATGCCGCGGCATTTTTGGGGAAGATAGGAGTAAGAGATCGAATGATGGAGTTCGATTATTCTACTGTCGATTTATCGCGTTCGTTGGAAATAATTACGTACGCGTCGAGCCGCCGTAATAATCTTCGTACAGTGCTCGATAAAAAGCACTTGTACACGCCGATCACCGCCGTTGACATTGAGATCATTTCTCAATTTAAGATTTACGGAGATTCAGTAACCGAGAAATTCCTTATGCAGTATATACTGCCACAAGCCGACCCTGCAAAATTCTTTTTCTTCTGTAAAGTCGCTCACTACCTGAATCAGGAATTAAATGAGCGCAATATCGATTGGACGCCGATTCCTTACAATACGGGATTGAAATTCGCCGCTATGAGTATCGCTGCCGCAATACTTGGTAGTCATAGCGCCCACAAGGCGATCTACCAAAGTAAAGAACGAGCCGAGTACGCCTTGTTAAAGGATTTAATCGAAATGCTAGGGAAGCCGCTTACTGAGCAGCAGGAAGCACAGGTGCTGAAAGACACCCTGGCTGCTGCCGGTCACGTCGAAATGGATACTGATCAAGTCGATCGTTTTATGACGATATCAATATCCGTATGAAACGATACGGCGATCGCAAGACGCAGTTTGACAAGGGCCAGCTATATAAAAGCGCCCTTGCCCGATTCGCCAGATGCTCCTACAGGAAGCAAAACTGTACAGCCGGAACAGAAATTCCGAAATAATCGGAATAAACAGTCGGCAGGTGATCCTGCATCGCCGCAGTTGGGAGTGATGGGCGGGAAACAGCCTGTCAAGCTTCCTCCCCTTACACAGCCGATTATTATTCCCGTGGTAAAGCCGAATTTGCCAATGGCGAAGTTTTCGTCTGCGCCGTCGTCGTTGAATACAACGACTGTGAAATCATCTGGTACGAATACCGATAAGCAAGGTAAAAATACTTTGCGATTGCCGGCCAATAATGGCAATAAAATTAATGACGAGCCGAATGTTGTAGATCATGTGCGGAAACAGCAATTGCCGACTGTTCCCGCGCCAGCCGAACCGATTGTTGCAGCTAATGTTGAACAACAATCAGCAGTTACTACGCAGCCGACACAAGTAGAGACAGTGCTTGTGTACCCGCCGACCCGTGAGACCTTCGACGAGAGGGAACTTGCGAAATTGCCGTTGTCCCGTATGAATGAAGCCGAACGTGACTTTTATGTTACGACACAGTCGTATCAAGATCATGTTGAGCCGTCGTCCAATGAGTATGTGGAAACCATGCTCGTTGAGTTGAGAAAGAAGACGTTGAGACAGATGACCGATCCCGAATATATGTTTTATATTCGATATGAAAATCCGGAGCGATTACCTGCTTGGACGGGTAGATCGCCAGAAAAGCCGATTGCGCCGCAAGGCGATGAAGCCGATGTTTTCCACGAGACAGTGGAAGAGTTGCCGGTGCGACCAGCACTTTCTGAGGTACTTGGCGATGCTTTGAACGCAGTCGCCGCAGCCGAAACCGCTCCTGACACTACCGGCGCTGACGCTGACGTTGACATGCTGCCGGATGCGAGTGCGGATAAAGCTGCTGAATAGAGTCGTGATGGAGGATAAAGCAAAGCCTCCGGAATGGAACGCATCATTTTGGAATGGATCTCATAATTTTCGCTATTTTTCTCTTAATTGTTGTGATTGTTAATCCTAGTATATGCCGCCGATTCGGTCGCATTTTGCTCATAATGTTGCTCACTGTTTTGTTTTGCGATTTGTGGCAGCCTCGGGGGGCCTCGGCCGTTCCGCCCCGTGGCATGCTAGGCGATCGGTGCCACCGCCCAGGATGGTGTGGTTACGTTTGGGCTTTGGGGCAGCACCGATTCTGCCGTGTTAGATTGTGTTGCCTTAGGCAGTTGGTTTTTTGCACGCTTCCAAATCTGGAATAAATTCCAGATTTGTCCACAGTGTCGCCTTTGTGCTGTTTTTGCCGCAGTATTCCCTTCCGGGATATAGCGCTTTCATTTCGGGCTTCGTGCCTTTATTGTTCTTTCCATTCACAATAAAAGATCGTTTTGGTTGTGGCCGCGTATGGGCACATTTCTGTGTGGCAGTCGCAGGCCACTTTCACTACCTACTATAGAGTTTCCTCTGAATTGGTAGCGGAACCTCAGCACTCCACGGGAAATAAAGGTTAGCCACGCTACGCCTCTTGCGGAAAATTTCGGCATTTCAAAAGTTTTGTCATGGTGCTCAAATTTGTAATTTCCATTGAAAATCAGAAAACGGTTATGTTTTTGAAACGGTTTACCATGCATGTTCTTAATGCATTGTGAAGTTTTTCCACATGAAGTATTCTTGATTGTAGAGATTCCTGTCATCGGTTTTCTTAAAAAAAAATACCTTGGAGACAGAATTTTGAAGGCTTTCGTAGTTTGCGAACTACCTTCAATCTGTAATCATGTCGAAGAAGCTTTTGGATTCTTCGGACGAAGATGAGAAGCCTGATTTTTCCTTCAGGGTTAATACGGATTACGCTAGCAAGTATGACGACTGGCGAGCGAAAGAAGAAATGCAGAAGCGTAAGAGTTTGATTCTTCGATCGCCCTGTTTCTGTTGACTGGTCTGGGTTGTCAGTTTTCCGTGCGGTGTTGCGCAAGTCGTTGCGAATCTGGAGTGTTCTTTTTATTATTTCAGTTAAGGATAAGTACGGGGATGAACCGATGCCGGAATCTTCCTCATCAGAGAGTGAAGATGAGGACGCGGAAGTGAGTTGCATCTCATTTGCCTTTTTTTCTCACAATCGTGATAATCCGTAGTGTAGTACTACTGAGTATCGTGAAGTAACACTGTATTGTAAATTTTGTTTGACTGACTACGTACTGAGTTTTTTTAATTTGCTTTCTTCTTTCTGTGCGGCGTATAACATTAGTTTGCACACTAGGCACTTACTCCGGCTATCGAGCGGGATTTTTTCAAGACTTTGGCTGTATTGAAAAGCAAAGATCCAGGAGTGTACGACAAAACTCGCAAGTTTTTCGAAGACGGACCGGAAGCGCCCGGTGCCTCCGCAGGAAAGTCTGGCAAGTCGAGACCCATGTTCTTGAAAGATTATGAAAGGAAAATAATCACGGAGGCTGACGGAATCATCGATGAATCCAAAAATCACATGCCGCCGAAGTTTCAGTCGCAGTATGATTTGGTATGTTCAGTTTTAAAAAAAAAGTTTCCTGGTGCATAGTGTTGATCCACAGTCTGCTCACTCTACTGAGGGATCGGTACATTCATGGGATTCGCAAAATGGTGTTTTTTTACATTTGCAGGAGCAAGAAAAATTGAAGCAAAACCTTGCATCTCTTGTCCACGATGAATCCGATGACGATGATGATCTACTTGTGAAGCGCGAGAGAACGAAGGAACAAGTCGAACAAGAAGATCATGATTATGCAAACTGGCTGAAGAGTACGAAAAAAGATGCGGATAATAGTGAATCTTTGTCTGCATTAAAGCCTTTGAAGGACTATTGGTCAGATCCAACGCTGGATGACGGCGAAAAGTTCCTGCGGGATTATCTCCTTGACCGGAAGTACATTGACAAAGATGCTGCTCGGTAATTAATTACTCTGAAGCATTGTGTGCATCCAACAGTAATTCTGTTGTTAGAAATTTCACTTCACCTTAAATTATGGTTGGACTCCTGATATTTACAGGATTCCTTCCTATTCTGAAATCGTGGACGAACACTTTTCAGAAGAGGAAGCAGAGATCGATAAAGCCGAAGAATTTGAACATAAATATGATTTTCGATTTGAAGAGCCGGATCAAGAGTTTATTAAGCGGTATCCGCGTACGATGGATGACTCGCTGCGTAGGAAAGATGACAGCAGGAAGAAGAAACGAGATCAGGTACGTTTTTCAGTTTCCTTGCTTGTTGAATTGGAACTGTATGTTTTCTTATAACCGAAATGTTTGTAGATAAAAGAGCGAAAGGAGGCCGAAAACGTACGAGTTCGCGAAGAAATCAAGCAGTTGAAAAATCTCAAACGACGCGAAATTCTGCAGCAAATTGACAAACTTAAAAGTATTACCGGAAATGAAGAACTGTCTTTTGGAGAAAAAGATTTGGAAGGTGAGTTTTGAAAACACATTTGACGGGAATAATTTTGACTTGCATCGCTGTAAATGCGTTGTGCGGTAATTACAGATTTTTTTCTTCAGGCGATTTTGATCCGGATGCGTACGATAGCTTAATGCAAAAAGCGTTTGATGACAGTTATTATCAGAACGGGGAGGAAATGGAAAAGCCCGAGTTTTCCGAAGAAAGCGATATCGATGAAAATTGGCTTGAAGAACAAGAAGCTGATCGAGAGGACGAGGACGATGACAATCGTAAGCAACAGGTCATGGCACAATCTGATACCCAGGCGGTTGCCGATGATGCTGCTGCGCCCGATGATCTGCCATCCACCAGTACATCGATGACGGAACGTAAAGGCAGGAGACGGAGACGAACAAAAGTGTCAGAAGCAGTGCAGAATGAAAAGCCTGCTTTTGATCCGAGTAAGCGTCGAATCTTTGTCTGTTGAAGTGATTATCTGACAGAGTTACATTTAATTAGTTACGGAAATTGTTTAGACGACAAGAAACTGCAAGAGTATTTGGATGAATATTATAAATTGGACTTCGAGGACGTTGTCAGCGGAATACCATGTCGTTTTAAATATCGATCCGTTGTCCCCAACAATTTTGGATTATCGGTTGATGAGGTTTGTACCAAAAGAATATTAAAGTTTTTGCTTCGTTGTGTGCATGGCTCAAATTGATCAATTTATAGATTCTTCGCGCTCCTGATCGGGAACTGAATGCATGGTGCTCCTTGAAAAAGACGGTACAGTACCGTTCAGAGGAAGAAGAGGCACGCGACTTGAAATCGTTTGGCCAGAAAGGAGCACAGCAAGAATTGAAACAGAGAGTTATTCCTTCGCTTGTTGAGGCGGAAGTTAGTGAGACCGATGAAAATCCAGCACAGGTGGAGCATAAGAAAAAGCGCCGAAGGAAGAAGAAGAAGACCGTTACGTTACAAGAGGATGGTGTTAAGCCAGTACAGGTTCCCGCAACGGATTCCACTGAAGCCACGCCAAGCAAGAAGAAGAGAAAGCATACGGATACTGTTGATCCACTCGGTACCGAAAGTAAACTACCCGTGCATACTCCGGTAGTCGGTTCTGAAATTCCTGGTGTGAACGTGAAGCCGAATGAAGTTCCCAGAGAATTGGCAGCAGTGAACGATGCATTGAATTTGAATTCTGCTCAGCAGAAGAAACGCAAGCGGAAGAAGAAGAACAAGAAACCCGTGAATACGAGCGTCCCTCTTCCTGGCTCTGCCGAGCCGGCTGCTAAGAGGTCGAAAAAAGAACAGTATGATGAATTCTTGAAGACATTGCCGTCAGCTAAAATCAGCGATAAGCGCTTGGAAGCATATGGACTGAATCCGAAAAAGTTTAGGCAAAAGGAAAAATACGTTTTGCTGGCTAAACAAAAAATTGGGCAGGCAAAGAAATCGAATCCCGAATGATACTACTGCCAACAGGGACATACAATGTAGGACAAAATGGTCGCATAGCCCCATACCCAGCATTCTGTACGCAAGCGGTGCAGTGCACTTGTACGAAACGGATATTTTGAACTCAGTCGTACAGTGCAGTGTGCTGCATGCGTACTGAATGTGGAGATGTTGGGTATGCGACCATTTCGTCCTAAGCTGTAAGTTGCAGATTGTGTGGTGATGGTTTTGTGTTTCGTAAAATGCTAATGTCATGTCATTATGTTCGTGTTTTAGCATTAGATGAGACTTGTTGAATCTTTATGCGGTATGGTGATCCCGGGTATACCCGTGTCGATGAAAAGCTTTAGCTGGATTTAACGGGGCAGTCCGGGCAGACAAAATTAATGCAGCAAATGCAGATGTTTGCGTTCGTGACGAATTAATGTACAAGTATAATTAGAACTTGAACAATTTACTAACCAAGTTAAAGTGACAAATATAATGCTAGCACAGTAATTACATATACGAGTAATTTTCATTTCTGACCATGAGTTTCTGTCGCACAGGAGCGAAGCATTCACCTCCCCTTGGTCCGGTTACCTGAGTATCCGGATTTTTATTAGATTTTCATTTTTGAACCGAAAGGGAAAGGCATAAAAATTATTATTTGCTGAAGTCATTTTTTAGTCATACTACTATTTGCTTTTTAAATTTTTAAGATGAGGTTTTAAGGTTTATACTTTATAGCTTGTAATTTTATCTGTTTTATGAAGTTTTATGAAAAAAGGGTGCTAGATTTTAGAATCTAAATCCAAACAGCAAACATGTTGAAGGTACCTGATGGCTGCGCCACTACTGGCTGATACTGTGCATGTAGCAGCTACTGTAGCTCATTAACCATTTACAGTCAGTACTGAATAACTTATTATTATTAGTGCCGAGGCATCACGTAAGACTACTAGTCTTACGTGATGCCTCGTTAGTGCGTATATTTCCTTCAGTAACACTGTAACAGTACAAGTACAGTGAAGTACGATGATAGCATGATAAAGACAACGTGTAACATTCGTAAATCTACTACTATTGTAAGTATTTCCTTCAGTCAGTCCGCAAAAGCAAAGATGTAGTACCGTAGCTGGACCGTGGTGGATACACTTCTGTTTCTCCCAATTTGAAAATTTTTAAAAAATGAGGAACGTGATACGGAATTTCAACGATGCTGCATCCAGAGTCCAGCGACTCCGTGCGCGCAGTACAGTACACTCGCTCCGGCAGCAGTACTATTCGGTTTCTGCAGGGCATAGTTCAGCTTTTCAGCGCTACTCCTCGTCATCCTCTGATGCTCCTCAAACCGCGGATAATCTGAAGCGTCGAGAAACCGTTATGAATGTGTTTGACCGGGCCGCCAAATTACGCCAGCGGGAACGAACGGTAGCTCTTCCCGATTTCAGCACCAAAACGTATGATTACATCCGCTCCGAAATCGGCTACCGTGTGGCCGATCGAATTAAGGATGTCAGCAGGAAGTTTGAGACCGCTGTTGATCTCGGCTGTGGAAAAGGTGTGCGTAAAGTTTCTGTTTACTGCAGTTTGCATAATGCGACTTCGCAGCGATTTTTTATGCTTTCTTTGCAATAAATATTTTAATATTTGTATTTTATTGTAACTGAATTTCTTTGATCGCTCTGTTAGCTCCATAGCACATAAGTTTGTCTTTTTCTTATTTTATAGGTTTTATAGCTCCTCATGTCTACTCGGATATGGTAGGGAAATTGCACCTTATCGATTCCTGTCAGGCGATTCTGGATGTCTCCGCCGCTTCGCCCGAAGTGGAAACCATTCGCTGTCTGCATGATGAAGAAGCGCCATTACCCTTTGCCGCCAACAGCCTCGATCTGGTGGTGTCCAGTCTGTCGTTGCACTGGGTGAATGATCTTCCCGGAGTCTTTCGCAATATTTGGTCCACTTTGAAACCTGACGGGTGCATGATAGCCGCCATGTTTGGCGGTGAGAGTTTATTTGAGCTGCGCAGCGCCCTGCAGTTGGCGGAACTGGAGAGGGAAGGTGGATTTTCTCCGCATATTTCACCCTTCACCAGTATTACGGATCTGGGGAATTTGCTCAACAGGGTGCATATATTTTGATATTTTTTATATTAAAAAACATTTGCGCTCAACAGTTTTGAACTGCACGTGGTTGTTGGATGCAAGGCAAGTTTGGGGAGTTGCAATTTTATTGTTTGTTACAGGCCGGCTTTACACTGTTGACCATGGATATTGATGAATTGACGGTTATGTATCCGTCTATGTTTGAGTTAATGTGGGATCTGAAAGGAATGGGAGAAACTAATGCTGCATGGTCCAGAAAGCTGCGTCTACCTCGGGATACGTTGCTGGCCGCAGCCTCTTTGTACCGGGAAAATTACGGAAATAAGGACGGACATGTGCCTGCCACCTTTCAGATTTTGTACATGATCGGCTGGAAGCCGCATGAATCGCAGCGGAAACCGGCGGAAAGGGGATCAGGACAGGTTTCACTCAAAGATTTAGGCAGTCTGGATTATAACAAAGCCAAGAAAAAGTCGTGAAACTGCTGCTGACGACTTGTGAGGTTGAAGCGATGGACGAATTCCATGCAGTTGTGTGTTTTTGTCTTTCTAGTCAGGCGGCCAAGCCGAGACAGCGTGAACGAAATGCAATAATACGAGTAATAAAGTTTAATGGTGTCCTGAGTCATTGAGTGCGCACTAAGTGCGCGCTGATGCTGACCACTTAATTTTTAACAGTTTTCTGCTTGTACCGTAAATAAAATACTAAAATTTCTGAGAATGCCACTTCGGATATTTTAATTTCTCTGTTTCACTACCGCATATTTGGGCTTTTGTTAGTTATAGTGTATGCCGAATTGCCGATGGACTTAATGCTGGTGCTCCTAGCCTACTAACAATTGTGAGCTCACTCAGCTCAGGAGCTTACTCGCCTGGATTTGAAGAAACGAAAAAAATTAGTAGCAGTGTCCAACTCGTACGGGCAATAATGCCGTTTAGAATAAAACGAAATAATTAAGGCAAAAAATTATTTTGCTTAATTTACTTTGGTAATTTTGCTGTCGTAAGACTTGATCGCTCATTATTGCTGACTCATTTCAGATTGTAGCCAGTTCTTGGTAACCGCTTGCGGAGGCGGTCTCTGATCGGTAATATGATTAAAACGTACTCGATAACATAACGCACGTTTTATGGTCTGTGCAAGTGTGCAGTTCCCATAGGAAACTTCTGCTTCGATGGTTCCAGTTTGTAGTTACTTTTACATTACCCCAAAAAAAGTTAAATCTGTATTAACGGATTTTTGAAATTAAAATTGCTGTAATAATTTATCCTGTTTGACTATCGGAAAAGATTTTGACGATTTGCTTTGTTTGTTGTGGGTAAATTATACTTGGTCAGCTCAGTTGACTGTTAAGTGTTAGGTTCTGAAAGACAAAGAGTGAAAGTTGCATCATGTCGCTTTTCCGTCTTTCTTGCTCTTCCCTTGTTCCCCGGGCCATCTTGAGAGCCCAGATACGGAATATGGCGGAAGAAGCACCGAGAATGCGTCGTGCGGACGTTATGGCGCGCCAGCGAGTCCAAGAGAAGCCACTCAGTCTTAAAGAACGCCTCATGGCACCCGCTGGAGAAACTGGTATAGTGGTATTGCTGATTTCCGTCCTATTTCTTGACTTGTAATGTCAGTAATGATGTGAATGTAGCATCGTGGTTCTTGTGTGTTCTTGTTACAATGTTATTCGAGTGGTTGTATAGAGAGCTTGACGTTTAAGAGTGTAGGATTAAGGATCTGTTTCATTTTAGTTTGTGGCCGATAGATAATATGGTCATACTATTGTGCCAGTATGCTGGTTAAGGAATATGAGCAGTTCTAAACCTCTCAACAACTAATGAGTGAATACTTCGTATTTTTACTATGCGTAATTTTCATCATTAAAATCATGATTTATCAGTAAGCACTTACAATACAATTACGAACAATACATGGCGCTGCGGCTTGCTTATGGTTAAATATCGTAAGTTTCAAATTGTTATTAAACGTTTCGGACATTCTGGAAACTGTGGAGTCACAAATATTGAAAAACTCTGTAGTGATGTTGTGTTGTTACAGTTCAATACTTTCTTTTTCAGCTTTCGGCATCGGACAGGCAGCTTTAGCTGGCGGTGCAGCGTTTGGAATTGGCGCATTATGTTACTATGGGCTTGGACTTTCCAAACAGACTGGTTTATGGGAAAAATCATAGTGAGTGGGAATCGCCAGCATTGGTGTCGGTATGCCAGTTTAATAATGGAACAATGTTTAGTATGTGGCCAGAATATGTCCGGACGCGCGTTCACGAAACATATGCTTATTTGGGTGGATCGCTGGGAGTCACAGCCATCTCTACTTACCTAGTGTCGCGCAGTCCTCAGCTGATGAGTATGATGACACGAACTGGATGGATGTCCATTCTGCTGACTTTTGGCGCCATGATCGGCACCGGAATGCTAGCCCGCTCAATTGCTTACGAGAATACCGGTCCCAAGCATCTGGCGTGGCTTTTGCATGCCGGTACATTCGGCGTTTTATTGGTGTTGTACAGTAACTGTTGTTGTCTGCTGTACTTTAATAAGTGTTTTTTCGGTAATTCTTTAGCGACGATCGGAGCGGTAATTGCACCATTGACATTGTTGGGTGGCCCAATTATGATGCGCGCGGCCATGTACACAGCTGGGATTGTCGGTGGACTGAGCACCGTGGCCGCTTGTGCGCCATCCGATAAGTTTCTCTACATGGGCGGTGGATTGGCCATCGGCTTGGGTGTGGTATTTGCCGCATCCCTGGGCTCGATGTTCTTGCCTCCGACAACCGGTACAAAGAGCGTAGATGTTTCGGCAATACTTGTGTGATATTGTACGTAATATTCAAAACAGCAAAAGCGTCTTTGTCGTGGTTTTAGCAATTGGGGCTGGTTTGTATTCGATCTCGATGTACGGAGGACTTTTGCTATTTTCGGCTTTCTTGCTCTACGATACCCAACGAGTGGTCCGAAAAGCCGAAACGCATCCACCTGGAGTTCCGGGCATGATCAAGCAGTACGATCCCATCAACGCGTGAGTTTTGGCACTTGATTGTTCAGAGTTTACAATGAAAATTAGCGTTTTGATTTAGTAAGTGCGGTTCATTAAACTGGCTACCGCTGTTCAGTTTATTCATTAAACTGGCTACCGCTGTTCAGTTTAAGCACACATTTCGAAGTTTGCAAATTGTTGAAGAATAAAATTCAAACGGTTAAACTGATTTATTTAAAAAAAAACAAAGTATATACGGGATTAACGGGAAAGGCTGTGAATTATTATGTTTTTGGTCTGGAATGTGTTGTATTTTTCAGGATGATGTCGATTTACATGGACATTATCAACATCTTTATTCGTTTGGCTGTAATGATGGGTGGTGGAAACCGTCGACGATAAAAGAAACTGCTGATTGAACTTACAAGAAATTCTGAAATTCTTCCAGATGTGTTCTGATCTGTAATATATGATTCGCATAGCGATTTAAACGCCCAGACCTTGGATAAATTTCACCGTATCTGTAGACGATTTTTTGACTGACAATAGTGAGTGACAGGGGAGTTGTACGAGTGAATTTGTCGTATTTCATGGTGATTCTTCCGTGAATACCTATCTCGTGTGTGAGCCAAATCCGAAATCGAATATTACTGTCTTTAGAAATCGAGGGGGTTCCGTTTCACTGTTTCAGTAAAGCCATTCACAGTATAGTTTTGAAAAATAATTGGTGGTATTTTTCTTCGGAATTCTGCGGTCCACCTGGCTGCCGGGGATCGATTGTGGGCTGTGGTTCACGAGTGTGTGCAATTAATTGATAGGGCTTTTGACCGGGTAGATAACCTTCACCGAATTGCGTTTGTCTTTGGTCGATCATTTGAGGAGCATCCTGGAAAGAACCACAAGTGACTTACTAAACAATTACGAATTTCTGCCGGTTACACTGAATTGTTTCCTTACCGGAAACACCGCCGGTGGTGGCGAAACCGGAAGGTGAACGAGATGGCTGGACGGGGATGTTGTACTCTCGGTACTCACATCCGAAGGACTAGCAGATGATTCTGCGGAAGCTGGCGTGGTCACTTCCGGTGGAGAGGCCAGTATTACGGCATTCGAAGTCAGCAGCGGTTCAAGTGGTTTTATAACGTTTGACGTAGCAGTTGAAGTTGAATTGGAAACGCTCTCGAATAAACTAGAGGAGGTAATATTGTTTCCTCGTGTGGTAGCTGGAAAAGTGTGATAACTTATCTATTCATTATTTTTCTTCTTCCCTAGCCTCCAAGTATATCAGATTGCTGTCATTCACTATTTTCACTGATTGCTGCTAGTCATATATAGCTATAGTTACCTGTTACAGTATCAAAATCTGTATTCTGTGTAATTTACCGAAAAGCGCACTGATAATCACAAGGAAAGACAGGCACGAAGTGGAGTGTTCCGTACGATACAGTTCGGGAAGCATTTTTCGGTGCTTTTATAATCTTTGTCGAAAATCTTAATAGGTCCTGTTATATGGGAAATTATTAACGATAATAATCCGATGTTGGTAATAGTCGATACAAGAAGCAACGCGATTTAAGGGTGCCGTCCAGTCCAAAAAATCGGGCTAATGGCAATATTAAATTCGTAGCTATCTATATTCGTGGCGCAAACAAAACTGGAATTACAGCATCACCACTTGTATTTCTGCATTCTTATCGCCAACGAAAAAGGTCATGAAATATGCAGCATGTGGGCCAACGTGTCAACGATAATGGATAAATTTCTATGGTCAACCGATTAAATAAAAATTTAAAAAAAACCAACCGATAAAAATTAATTGAAGTCACGTTTTAACTTTTCAAGCCTTGAATAACAGCTGTGGAGAGAGTGTGGAATAACAGAAAATCTAGTGTGAAACGAAATGGTGGAACTAACGGAACAATATCCAGCAACGTAAGCACCGTAACACAGACATTTTCGCTTAACATAATTTTACAACAGTATGTTCACCTACCCTTTCGCAGTCTGCACCATTACTGCAAATGAATACCTCAGCAAAACTGAAGTGCTCGGCTCAAGAGTGGCAAAGTAAACCAAAGGTCCGTTGCAAAAAATTCCAGGACCGCAGTCCGTAAGTCGAACGATTCATGCTAACCGGGTAAAGTAGCATCTGGTACTACGTTCTAGCTAATAATTAACACCGCTATTGCACAATTAAAAACACCACTATTTGGAACTCATCACATAAATCGTTAAATTACACGCCGCTGACAATACTATCTCATATTTTAACATTTATTTTTCTCCTTTCTACATCAACCATACAAATTAACAAAGTAAGAAAACAACATAACTTTCTTGAATGTAATCGAGAAATAATCGAATATCAATAGAAGTACAAACGAGTTCTGTGTGTAAATTTTTGCACAACAAAAGCAATTCAAAATCCTAACTGGCCGGTGCATAATCAAGACTTTGTAGTACAGGCAATTTATGCACAAGGGTCTCCAAAAAAGCTACCAAACCCAGAGTTACTACAAACACAGAGAACGATATCGTTCTCTGTACTACAACTGTTTAGCCTTAGCTGGGTGACAGTGACACTGGAGAACGTCCATCCGACAAATCAAGAGGAGCGACAAAAGACGGCGCCTTGTAGTTGATGGCCCGAGCCGGCACTCCGTTCTTGCGTTTACCAATATGACCCTTGACTTCGCGCGGCTTTTCCTCATTGGTGGCCGTATGCGACACTGAGCCGGTTACCTTTTTCGGTTTAACCCCGCTGTGCTTCTTGTGGGATTCGCGGATGCTAAACAGGATTCCACCCAATTCTTGGTGGATCATCTCCTTTGTCGGCGGATTGGGAACATCTTTAAATTCACAGTAGCTATCCACAACACCTGCAACGTATATCTAATTAGTATGCAAATCCTGAGTCAATGCGATTCTAGCTTGCATTGGGTAGCATATTGTTTTCGAGTACGCGTAGTCGATACTTTATTTCTGGAGCGGTTTACGCACGTAACAAAACCTTGCGACTTACTTTTAACAACGTTCAGTCTGTCTTGATCCAACGCCTTTTTTCCGTTTTTCGACATCCGCGCGCCCCGCTCTGTAGGTACCGAATTGATGAGCTCGTCCGTAGTAAATAACTTTTTCATTGTCAGTTTCAAGGCTTTTTTCCATGTAGATTGAGTTAAAACCGCATCCTACAAGGAAGCAACTCTTCAACTTTTTTGTAAGCATTTATTCGTATTTATAATAAAAAGGTGGGAAAAAACGCCACGATGAGCAAGCAAAATCATGAAAATTTAATTCCATATGTACTGCAGCAATATTAACAGTCGGAAATACGGAAATGGATAACTATCATCACAAAATTAATAACGAATATCAAAATACAAAAAAGAAGATATGAAAACCAATCCTAAATATAATAATTTCAAGTACTTCGAAAAGGAACAGTGAAACCCATGAAGATCATGAAAATAAAGCAACAAAAGAAAAGAAATAGAAAACAGTTATTTTGTTTCCTCAAGTAAACCAGAAAATGGTCTTACCAAAATCTCACTTGGGGGCACTGGATCCATACCCATCGGCGAAGAAAGTGACGTGCTGGACGAAAACGGCGGTGTGCCTTCTAACGCATAACCTTCACCTTCAGGAGCCTATCCGAAATGAGAGTCTGATAATTTAAAATCGAAAAACATTAGACTGTTCAAAGCAGACTTTCAAAAACTGACCACTTCCCAGCACAACATTAATGCGGACAGTCAAACTGGAGGGTCCAACTTACGCTGCGCTTTCCTCGAGCACTTTTGAGCACCGTTCCATTCTGGTAAGCCAACATGTTTTCTCGATACTATAACACACAAACAACTGCTAAAAACAGGCCGCAAAAGGAGAGAAGCCGGCAGAAATCAACAATCACAAACACAGAACGAACCATCCACCAAGCAAGCAGCCTGTCGTTTGCAGCCGGATGCATGTTTACCCGCGATGCACCTGGCGCCATACTGACGGAGCCTCCATTGAGGAAGGGCGCACTGCTGACCAGATCCACAGTACTCGGGGATCCTTCGCGTGCCTCACTGGCCGAATCCCACGACGCGGAACGGGGCTCCACCACACTCTACAACGATGCCCAAACTACCACCAAATTCAAAAAATTACATACACGGAAAAACGCTAGCTGAGTTGTGGGTATTGGGTAAAAATTGGCAAAGTCGCATAACGAAACAATACAGCTTATATTCACAACAGAATGCAAGTCAACACACTACTTTCATAGTTAAAATTTAAAATTGAAGAAACAAAACAATAAACGTGAAACGAGAATTAAGTAGGAATCGTACAATTCAATTTTTGACGCTTATGGCAATAAATAACTAATTAACTACCATTTTCAAGTTTGTCACAAAAGGGATGCCAACTGCTTTGCAGACCGTTCAGTTCGTGTTTTAGCATGTCAAGAATAATGCATTTCCCGACATCGTATGACTGACCTCGGCGAACCACATCTCCTTGGTCTCGTTGTGTGCTGTTTCCGCGTCTCCATGCTTCTGCAGAGGAATCAAGACATCAGCTCGCTGCACGACTGAATAAGAAATCCACAACCCACCGCGCGCATCAAGCCTAGTTCCACTGCCCAACGGTAGCCCTTATCCTCGTATGTTTTCTCATTGGATGACGGGAACAGTCGCGCCGCGGCCAATTCATTTGCCGTTTTTTCTACATACAAAGTAACAAACCCACAGAATGGACAGATCGGTCGTTTGTCCCCTGCGATGTGTATCCGGGACTGACCTTCTTCGATCCAGATAACAATACAGTTGTACAAGCCGTCGCGATAGCGTGCGCGACACACTGTCTTCTCGGTCAGTGCTGTGCCAGCTTCCACTGGTTCCAGGGCATTCAGAGGCAGAGCTGTTCAAGTAGGAATGCGATTTCGTATTGCTGTTACGATTTCACAGGGAAAATGAGACAGATCTGTCACCTTTGACCATGGATGGACAGCCCTGAGATTCGTGGAAGAAAATGATGGCACTTCCTAAAGGAGCCGATCTGGCTTTCTTGTGCGGCGGTTCGGGCATTGTTTACAAAGTCTACAAACAAACACTGCCTACAACGAGCAGTAAACTGGATATTTGATAATGCGGAATCGAATAGTAAACAATGACAGTCGAAATCTTAGAACTGGAACACTGGAGCAATGTTTTGTGATAACATTAAATACTTTCGAAAAACGAGAATAGTTTGATAAACAGAAACTACTGTAATCGAAAACTGTATGCTCAGAAGTCAAAACTACACATCAGCTCATAACAATTGGAACTGCGTCCGGGGTTCACTTTTGACTTCTGTAAGGCCACTTAGGACAGGCAGATCGGTAAGTAAGGTTACCGACTTCGTGGAGTGAAAATGAGGTCAGGTGACATGTTTCGAATTTTCGATTTTACAAATTCGAAGTCAGGTATGCATAAAAGTTGTAAACAGAACACATAGCTAGGACTTGCGACTTGACAGTTGGCGATATGTTTAAATTATTACAGTGCAATGCATGTACAAGACACAAAATTGGGAAGTATGCATTTTAATAATTATTATTGTAATTGTATCCGTCCTTGTACATCATTGTACTTGTACATGGCTTGTACTGGTATATGAAAATATCTATACGATATACTGTAATTGTGCCTTAATGCGTATGACGGGCTTATATAAAATTAATAGTAAACTTAAAATTGAACGGCTGTTAGCTTATTCAGTTAATCTCAACGGCTGCCACTTCCGGCAAAAAATAGTATTTAAACAATAAACTGTTTTGTTGAACATATCTGAACAAAATTCGAACTACGAGTACCGTATTTATTATGATTGTGCGCTGCTAATAAAGATTGAACATGTAAAATGATTTCCATACACGATGATTATACTGGTATACTGATAGAAATGTAATGTAAGAAATGTATTGTACGAGGCTAATTAGTAATAGTAGAAAAACATAATAAAAGTATGGGTGAATGATTTTTTAAAAGATGTGCAAATATTGAGTATAAAATCTACACTTATGCCGACGTTGTGGTGCGGAATTGCGGATAACACATCTAAATCCTTCCACAGAGCAAAAAAGACTTAATCACTGGTCAGTAGTAAGGATTTACTTATCGTTAGTTTCAAAATAAACGATGCAGAAGCTAACAGACTATCAGCTAAAGAAAGGCTTGCACACAGGTCTGTAAATATTTGTAATTTAATGATCAAATCCTGAATTTGAAGCGATTTTAATAATTACGAGTACGGCAAAAACAAGAAAACTGGCTATCAGAGAAATGTGCACCGAAAAATTGAGGAAAGATGAATTACTTATTATATACACACAGACACACCAAGGCCAACAGATTTTGATTATTAATAAGTACATTACGTACAATGCAACGAATACAATGCTGCAGGTTAAAAAAGTGATTCAAGAGAAGACTCAAAAGAGTGCAACCTACGAAGTTACCGGTAATCGTCTTGGGTTATTACGTGAAATTCTGTATTACTCGTATTATGACCAGTTAGTTCAGTACGGCCAGTAACTATCACAACTGTTGTTTTCAATCAGTACTTATTTTTCCTCATTGTGAAATCAGTCAGTAAAGCATCGTTCAATTTTTGTGCTGATATCGCAACGCAAATCGATTGCAATAAAAGTCGAAACGTTACACTTTTTAGAAAACGAGTTTATCGAGGTGCGGACATTTTCTTGCATTGGTTAAGAACATAGGTTCGTAGCTTCGCAATCAGATTTGATTTCCTGTCTGTACTCTGTAGGTATTTGTCATCAAAAGCACAAAAAGCCAAACGACCCATCAAAGTACGATATTGACGTACGACGAATGCGCTTATTATTAATACCATTTAATTTTCTTGAAGGACAGTTTATACCTGTCTGATAGCTAATTAAACGCATAACATTAATAACATCTCGTGCATCGCTGTGCATAATTCCATCGGAACCCATGGCTACTATTGTTTACTTTAATAAATTTTGGCCACCGTTGGGTTGTTGCATTCTACAACGTAATTTGTCGGGAATAATTAGATTTCAATCGTTTGATTATGATTTGCACTTAAACAAAAAAATTAAACTGCGTAGAATTAATACAATTTTATAATTTACTACCTTTTAATTGAATTGTGTTTTTACAACATTTATTTCCGGTTTCGTACCTCGTATATATAAGTAAACTACCGAGAGAAAGTTTAATCAATATCTTCTGAATTAAAATTAAAAACAGCAACATGTCAATAATACAGTAGTACAAGACTTTTGCTGTTAGGTTCGGACCATTTAATAAGCGTCTTATCTGCATTATTGTACACTATAGACACAGTTTATAATGTACCGGTGGTACGAGTACAATACCAACGAGGGTACTGTAAGTATTATACTGTAGCATAACGTGTAAATATACGTATTTACTATTTACTACAGGATTTAAATGTACATACGGTAGTGGCCTAAAAATTAAACGCACATACACACGTTTAGAATGCTCGATCCAAACAGTTGAAAGTGCAAAATTAAATATTTTTTGTAATACAAGGTCTGTTTCAGCGTGTTCGCGGTTAATATATCCAAAATTTTGTCGACACTCGACAGTAAAAGCGTAAGCGATAACGCTATGGGACCGAAGACACTTCATATCTATGTATATAAAAGCGTGGAAACCGGCGTTTTTCATGCTTATTATAATCTTCGGGTGTCGGTTTGCAGTAAAACAAATTCTTTGGAAGAACATAATTATGTACGCAGAATACAATACCTCTACCGATACCAGACAAAACAACAGCTTCATGCGGCAGTACAATACAAGCAGCTTTTACGGTAGCAGCACAATGTCCTCTTAAGTTTATAATCAAGTAATACTGATTGGTTTTGCTAATAATTATGCCGATCGAATACTTAATTACAGGTGGATATAGTGCATACCCATAGCGGACTATAACTGTAGCGAAATAAATTTTGTTGACAAAAAATTTAATCAAAATAGAAACTTACGGTAAAAGTCGCAGGAGTTTCGGGTAGCATACGCACAGATAATTGGCTTGTGAAAGGGAAATTTCAATGTAGTCAAAACACCGTGTAATAAGCTTTAAAACATGCGGCGCATAACGGGTTATTGCATATTCTACTCTAGTATATAGATATACCGCTGATTTTGCGAGCACTTTGGTTAGAAGCTGCCCTAGCATAGAGCAAAGGTAAGTATAAAATCGTTAAATTCAGACTAAAACCCTATCGAGCTGTGCCATTTAATGTGTAAGATGGAAACTTGATCGCATTACAACAAATGACTATCTAACGTAACCGTTGATCGAAAACGAGTACAACATCGAGTACCAGAAATGAATCTGAAATAATGAGTGTTGCGCAGGCAACGTTTGAGCCTTTAACCAATAAGACCATATGCTTTCAAATTTGGGTTTTGGTTCGCTTTCGCCTTTTCCGCAGTACATATCTACTTCAAGTGAATATAACCAAAAACCGCACTGATATAGATTTTTAAATGCCAGCAGCTGTTCGGTGTGTGTGTCTTCACCAGCATTTTTGTGTACTATACGGGTAAAGTTACGCTATTCGCTTGTACAGAATCGAAGTAAGTGAAGTACATCAAACTCTTAAGTGTAAAAATCATTGAAACCTTCACCATTACGGCATAAGAAAAGACGCTGCCGGAAAACAGGTGCAGTACGTAGCTATAGGTAAGTACAATACAATACACTGGGTATAGTACGCAGGTTCTATCTCGAACTGCATTTTAAAACGCTTAACAAAATATACCAGAGTCCCAATGTACAATCTGTGCACAATTTGTAACGTACCAGCAATGCTACTGTTGCCACCACATAGCCTACACCTACAAGTACTTACTGCACGATAGAAAGGACCGCAAATATTCTGATTGCAGATCGTTCTACTCGTAGTCACGTTACTATAGAATTCGAGCCGGTGTACATGCAGACCCTCAAATGAAGACAGAAACGACTATTGCATTTGGCTGGGAGCGCGGACTTTAATGCAGTTCCAGCATATCAAAATGAGTATTACGTTACATCAATTGTAAGTCTTCAAGGAAATTATGATTACGTTATCTGAAAACATAAGTAACAAAGTCTGAGTGCATACTGTGCAGTATATGCGTCCTGCAGCCAAACCTCTTGCTCTTTCATATAAATTTCAGGGTAGCTCTAAAATCTAATCCGAGGTCAACAGTGACATACAGCGAGCAAATTGCAAACTAATACACTACAGAAAAACATGACAATATAAAGAAAAAATACATGCAAAAGTGCATGCATAACTACATGTACGGCCACGTACCACATTGCGCCATTACTGCTACGTAAAATTTGAAAGTATGAAGGTGTCAAACCAAATCCGTCGAACAATATACCGTACTTCAACATTTGCAGGTATCTTTCTAGCCAAGCTATTTACAGATTCCAAGTTAAAACTGTAACTTATCGTACAAAAAGGCTCATAAATCGAACAGAGGATATACGGATGCATGTGGGATCTTTAACATCAGATTTCAGGTGGAAAGGTTGACAACTGAGACATGATTGCTGAGCGTATTTCGGTACTGTTCTGCTTTGGAAAAAAATCTCCGTTGAATGCTTTCATTATTAATCCTGAAAGAATTCGATCTTATTCAACACTAAATTTTTGCGCACTTAACAACAAGACCACCCGAACCTATTAAATGATGCAACTTGATTTCATCGAGAATTCCGTTACAGCTGCTGCTGTTGGGGGCTGTCGAAGAGGCGCGCAGTTTCTGGGATGCTGACTGCAGTTCTTCCTTGAAAAACATTTCTTCCAATCCTTTTCGCACCATCGCGTCTGCTGTCGGTTCACTGAATATGAGAGTCTAAAAACAAACATTTTATGTACAAACAAGAAGTCTATTCCTTAGCACATGCTACATAACTGTACTACTGCGGCAAGTTACTAAGCCATAAACAGGCGAAAATGGGTCGAGGGGACCACAAGTAGCGATTGTGTCAAATGCGTACGATAGCAAAAATTTTTCTGACTTGTGAGTTATGATAGGCACCACCTGTACCTCTACGTCCTTGAGTCGCCAGGTTTCCTCATTAGCAGAATTACCCGAACCGGAAGTACGAGTGGCTGTGGGTTTTGATCGCCGAGGAGCCACCTGCTGCGGAATACATCATACAATGCCATTTAACATTTAAAGTTAATATTACCTCACGTACAACACATGACAATAACAATGAAACCATGAGCAAAAATTCAAATGAGAAAAGACAAATGTCATGGACAAGCAATTTATTAATGTGACTATTCTATCGCCTTCGAAAAAAAATCGAAATCTCACCAAGTATTAATCGTAAACCCATTTAACAAAACGGTAATCATTCTACATGTACTCGTATCATACCTTTAAAGAGCATTGAAACTTTTGTGCATATCGATCACCAGTACCGCTTCAGATCGTATGCAGCTCTAATTATTGCGTCAGAATTTAAATTTTTATGGAGCATTTCGAGTTACAAATAAGTAACACGCGACCTATATCAATCGGCGGTACCTTTTGTTTTGCCGGCTCTGGTGCGCTCGCCGGAGCAACCGATTGAGATCTGGTCGTAGGCCGCCTCGGACCCCTATTTGGATCGGTCACTTTCTGGCAAACACTAAAAAGAATCATGATCCAGCCTAGCAGCTCTACAAAAATAGAATTCAAAATCGCACCGTTTCGCACTCATAATACTAGTGCCCTCGGTGGCCGTTTTGCGCTTATGCGATGTTGTCGGGGAAGTGGATCCATAATCCTCAATATTCTCCGTTTTGATTAGCAACTCAGAAGCACGCTCACTGCAAATCCGACCAAAATCATGAGAGGACATCGTTGCCACAGTTGCAGTTGACTGCTACAAAACCGGCAAGTCAAGGTATATTCATTATTTAACACTGAACTTGTGGCGCAGTAGTGGACAGTACTTCACTTCTTACCGGATGTAAAACAGTGTTCCTGCTGTGCATTCCCGAAATGCTGTTAGAATTTTTTATGTTGCTCTTGCTTGGCGCAATCGGCTCCATGGTCCGGCTGCTACTGCTGGATGGAATATGCGCAGGCACAGTACCGGTGGAATGCGGCTGGACAATGGTTGGCGCAAACGGTGCAGCATTCGCCTGCTTTAATTTTTACTTTATCAATCAAAGATAATTGCACACACCGTTAGACTGTGCCTTGTTTACCAATAATCAAACTATGATTGCCTAATCATTACTTGATAAAATAAAACAGGCAGACAAGTAGTATTACTTCAGTTATAGCAAATCGGAAACATTCACATGTACGGTTACCGATGGATCGTTGTGAGTTTCGGGGACGTGATTCGCAAATCCATTACGTAATGGCGCAGTGCTGTTCGGTGCGGCCCGTGTTGGTTCGGGCGGCTGTCCGTTGACCGCGCCAGCGAAATGGCTGTAAATGGAGGGCAACGTATGGAAGAACTCCAGCATGCGATCCGACAATTTGCTTATAAATTCCTTCAGTTTCACATAATCCTCCAAACAGCCAGCGCAGGCGCCCACGAAATACAGCCGCGCAGAAAACGTGCTGTTATCCAGATCGTCCTGCGTCCAGCGCCAGTCCACCTTCGCCTGCGGAGTGTGACGAGTGGCAATGAGATGGACACATTCGATCAACTCAACACCGGCACGAATTCCCGCCTTACGATCATCGCAGTATTTTATTAAGCAGGCCGGACAGGGGAAGGTGGTATCCGCGGGGGAACCATTACCAGAGCTGTTTACTGTTGTCACACTGGAATATATCATGTCAGAGTCAGTCAGACCATGCGGAACAAAGCATCCGCGCTTCGAACTCGCTGGCAGCACTGCAGTAAGCCCGTAAGTGTCACAATCTTTGCTCTTACCTCATGTTGCAGCCAAGAACTTAATCGCTAATGCGCAAACTGCCAGATAGCCAGTAAGGTTTGTAAAAAATAAACGAATCAGAAAAACGTTCATCAACACGGTGACTCGTTCAATACTCATAAGTCGTAATTACGAATTTGTGAGAACCAGAATGCTGAAACACAGTTCAAACTCAACATCAAACAAAAAAGCAAGCTACAATCCTAATCGTAGTTCGTGCTAGCATTTTGATTAACTTTGAAATTATTAGAAGAGCGACGCGAAATAAAACGGACTTGTGAAGACAGAAGAGGGAGTGCAAAAACAGAAAAACTGTACGATCAGACTCGCTCATCCGAGATTCGAATTTTTTTAAACTGAAAATGCAACTAGCCCACTACTGTCACAAATCACAACGACTTGAAAAAAAATCACAAATCACAGCGACTCGAGCTTGCAGTTGTTAGTGCTCTGCAAAGTTACAGAGGGGTGCCTCGTCAGGCCGGCCGAGGCGGATGTTTACGCAACGGGCGTGCTAATTCGCTCACTGGTCAAGGGAAAAATTTTAAGACAAAATTTTTGTAATTGCTAAATCAGTATTATTGAACCTTTACGTACTTTGTATTCCACATTTTCAGTACTTACTGTTAGTGTTAGCACAGAAATGAACGTTGATATCATAAAAAAAGTTTGCTTTAATAAAAGTACGAGTACTGACTGTACTTGTATCTGTACGTGAAGTGTTTGTCGTCTTGAGTCTCTTGCCCAATTATCAATTACTGTTGCTGAAAATAACTAACTTGTAAGTGAGTGTAAACACCTTTCAAAATACTGTGAGTGGTGGCACTGGTGGATTTGTAGGCAAATGAAGTAAGCGGCGGAAGTTCTCTTTTTGCTCGAAGCATTTCGGCAAACCATGCGATTTTGTATTAAGTTCTTACTGTATTAAGACCTATTTGTACCCCCAATCTTCCATCTTACGACCAATACGGCAATACTTACTGTCATACTTCTATTCTTTTGAAATACTTTTTTTTTAATTTGGAGAATTCTTTTTCGCAGGTAGATTTATTCTTTGAAAATTCCTGGTAGAACGGGATACTGACGCGTACCAAGTCCACCAGGCACAGCACGGCCGAACGCATAACTAAAATATAGTAATCAATGCCACCTGGCACCAGCTCAGGAACTTCAGTACTATACATAGGCTAACCGACTATGGAATTTAAAATTCTAGATCAAGACCGTCGAGGAATCGAAGTGACGAAAAACAGATCACACTTCAGACTTAAGATCTTAAAAAAGTGCACACAAACAAAAAAGAGATTCCCTCTTATGAGAAAAACTTAAATATGTATTTGCAACCACCGGCAGTGAAACCGGCATATAATTCAAATCGTGAAACCGGCATACAATTTTACAATCAGATCCATTAATTTAGCTGCCGCGGCAAATCCATATCGCGG